TCCTCAAGCCACGCCTTTCTACTTATTCTTCTCTAAATATAGATTTACTCTTGTTGAGTAATCTCCCCCCTTACGACCATGTAAACATTTTATCACACAGCTAACTAGACAGACTCGGACCGTTCTTGTGTGTCCTCTATTGTTGCTGTGGATGTTGATGTTTTTCATTGGACTTTCGAACACGTCATTGAGGTTATGAGTTATTCAATATTACCAGGTGTGCTTTAATAGAACATCCATTTTTAAACAAATCTTATTGGTTTGAAATTTAAAACATGTTTTAAACTAATGATTTATTCAACGTTATTCATATATAAACGTGTTGTAAAATTATGATATGATATATTCAACGTTAATTCATATAGAAAGAAAACAACATAAGACATTTATTAAAAGCTTTATTCCTTTTTACTTTCTCGTATATACGTAGTATAGAGAAAGTATTGTAATCGTGCAAAAAAAAAAAATCGAGATTTTTACAAATCTCGACGTTTTACACCTCACTGATACGGAAAAACATAATTTTGCAATCTTGTCCGTATGTCTGTGTGTCTGTCTGTCTGTGTGTGTGTCTGTCTGTCTGTGTGTAAACACGATAACTTGAGTACCGTTACGGCTAGGTTGATGAAATTTCATATATAAGTATTTTATCAAAATCGTATATCCGTATCAACTTTTGAGCGATTTCTGATAACCGAAAGTGGTACTTTTTCTACTTTGAATTTTTAAAAAGCCTACAACTTGAGTACTATTTCAGATAGATAAATGAAAATTCACATGTAAGTAAAAAATCTAATTCTCTACCTTCTATCATATTTTGAGTAATTTCTGTTGACCGGAAGTAGTAATTTACGCTATTTCCAATTTCTCAAAAATGCATGTAAATTTAAAAAGTACAAATAATATTGCGCACTATTATGCACATTTTGTTTTGGCGTTCGCTTGGTGCGCAATTCTTTTTTCTACGAGATTCTATTCTATTTTTAAAAGTTTAAGTAATTAAAAATCATGTCTATATTCCGAGTTATATAAGAATATTCGAAAAAGTTTAGGAGAGATCACTCCCGGTTTATTTCATATGGATTAATCTCTACCTATACACTAACACCTTACTCTACTAAAATATCCACAAAAAATAATAACATTTTTTTCACAATGAAATCATTTTCACAATCTAAGCAAGGTAACGATTTCATTTCATTTTAAACTGAAACAGTGATAAAATATACTCTTTGTGATTTATGTAATTACTATAGTAATCAATAGTCAGCAAAAAGTATGGATAAAATTTATGGTTCGATTTTGAGAACTTCAAAGAATATTCTAATATGATATAACAAAATAATATAACGTTTTGGGTGAACTGCTGTAGCTAAGCGAGTGGTCCTCGAATGTTTCACTGTTTGTCTGTAATATGAAAGCGTACATTTACACATCATTTTAAGACACATTGTTTTCCCAGACGTACACGTGCACCCTTAAGAAAGCACACACTCATGCGAGCCAGCACTCAATTACCTGCACACACACACACACGCGCACACGCAAACACACATATATGTATATATGCATATACACACACATATATATATATATATATATATATATATATATATATATATATATATATATATATATATATATATATATATATATATATATATATATATATAAATACAGGGACATAATGCGCTCTTTATCGAACATTATTAGGAGTGGCTCACCTATGACTTCCGTTTTAAAATAAATCGATTAATACCTTTCCCCCGTCTCACAACGTTACGAAACCCCCACCTCCATCTCCCTAGAGGATCCTTAATTGAGTCAACATAAATAACATTATCTATATATGTATATTCATAATCATATTATATTAATTGTATTTTTGCCTTTTATAGAGAAAACAGTATGCACATTCAGAGCACATCTCTTTTATGGAAGATCAATCTCTTTGTTCAAATCATCAGTAAGTTTCTATAAACCTGATGCAATGTCTATCCCTTTACTATCTACCCCTATGTTAAGAAAGCAATCTATTTTTGATGTAATGTCTATATTTAAAAAATAAATAAACCAAAAGCCTACCCACGTATTCATTGTCCTCACAACGTACAGGTAATTACAGGTACAATGGACGTTTTCACCTAAGGTCTTCTTCAACACACAACATTGTGATTTTAGACAAATATGATAACCAGTGATCCTGGCGAAGACGTTGGGTCGAAACATTTATTGTACCAGTAATTGTCTTTAATTTGCGAGGATACTAACACTACCAGTTGAATATTTATTTATATCAACCTCACTGTTGCTACCATTTTATTTATCGTTATTGTTACTCTATTATTTATATCTAGCACTTTTGATATTACATCTATACTTTTCAATCGATTGTCTAGACACTTAGAAAAAAAAACAACGCTTTACTGAGATAAAATACTAGCATCTATTTTAATGTGGTTTGGGTTTAAAATAGTCAGTAGTGCTGAGTTGAATTGTCTAGGTGTTTTATCTAGTTGTATGATCTTGATCTAGAATGATCTAGACCATGTTTTTTTTTTTTATTTGGGGCTTGTGTTTTGAGTAAGTTGAAGTGTATGGTTTAGAAATAAATTATAGGCACATTCAGTAGAGTTTCTTATTGACCAGATTTTCGATCTAAGTGTAGGGGGTCGTCCATAAATGACGTCACACTCACAGGTGGAGGGGGGGGGGGTCCGTAATTTTGTGACGAAGTGTGAAAGGGGAATGGGGGTTCAGATGGTGCGACTTCACACAATTGCATTTTAAAAAACAATGTTAGAAAACGAATTTTAAATATTATTTCGCGTTTTAGAAAACTGTTTTAATAATTGCAATAGGAATTGATAAAAATACCCAATTTATTATTTAATTGTACGTAAATTTAGCTTATAAAAGAAATAGAAATGTAATTCTGTTAACAGTTTTAAATATAGATTAAAATAAAATGATAGTTTAAAGCTCTGTATTATAGGAAATACAATAAAAGAAATCTAAATATTATTTATTTAACAACTATTGTTTACTAATAAACAATCAGCACCGTTTCCTTTTTTGTAAACATTATATTTTTGCCCTTTTTTACTGAGGTATTAAAACTAATTGTTGGTTGTTCCCCTTTATCTTTATTTTATACAGAAAGGAACAAAATAATGATTTGTCATACGTCAATTTGCTAGCATTTTAAATAAACCTTTTCCAATCCCCATATACCAGTTATTTTATCTTGTGTAACACATTTGCGATTAATAACAACTTATTTAGTAATATTTTATGCATAAACATAATAAGAGATAAAGTAAAAAAAAAGGTTTTATAAATTATACTAACCTTAGAAATCTGCCGACAAGCTAACTGAATATGCTGGCTACACTGTATCTTTTAATGCTACACTATATCTTTTATCTTTTAATGCTACACTATATCTTTTATCTTTTAATGCTACACTACACTATATCCTTAAACATATTAAATGTAACCAAATATCACTGAGCTTGAGTGAATCAAAGTGCTGTTGTAGAATCATTTTTTGCTAATTTCGCATACGTTTCGGCACTGCTTGCTCTTAAATGGTCTTAAACTTCTTCACCTCGCATTCCTAACTGCAATAACTTTCACAAACGTTGGGGGGGGGGGGGGGGTAGAGCTTTGAAAGGGGGTATGGGGTCTAAATTTCAAAATGTTTTTGGAAGCCATAAATAGATGACCTATTGCAACAAGAATAACGCTATAGCAAGAGCTATTGAAAGTCTTTTATCTTGTGTACCTGTATGGCTAGTTTAGCTATATCTTACTGTTTTATATTGATTTAAACCCTAGTTTACCTGTATGGCTAGTTTAGCTATATCTTACTACTTTGTATTGATTTACATCCTAGTTTACCTGTATGGCTAGTTTAGCTATATCTTACTATTTTATATTGATTTAAATCCTAGTTTACCTGTATGGCTAGTCTAGCTATATCTTACTGTTTTATATTGATTTAAATCCTAGTTTACCTGTATGGCTAGTCTAGCTATATCTTACTACTTTGTATTGATTTACATCCTAGTTTACCTGTATGGCTAGTCTAGCTATATCTTACTACTTTGTATTGATTTACATCCTAGTTTACCTGTATGGCTAGTTTAGCTATATCTTACTACTTTGTATTGATTTACATCCTAGTTTACCTGTATGGCTACTTTAGCTATATCTTACTATTTTATATTGATTTAAATCCTAGTTTACCTGTATGGCTAGTTTAGCTATATCTTACTACTTTGTATTGATTTACATCCTAGTTTACCTGTATGGCTACTTTAGCTATATCTTACTATTTTATATTGATTTAAATCCTAGTTTACCTGTATGGCTAGTCTAGCTATATCTTACTGTTTTATATTGATTTAAATCCTAGTTTACCTGTATGGCTAGTCTAGCTATATCTTACTGTTTTATATTGATTTTAATCCTAGTTTACCTGTATGGCTAGTTTAGTTATATCTTACAGTTTCATATTGATTTACATCCTAGTTTACCAATATAGCTAGTTTAGTAATATCTTACTGTTTTATATTGATTTAAATCCTAGTTTACCTGTATGGCTAGTTTAGCGATATCTTACTGTTTTATATTTATTTACATCCTAGTTTACCTGTATGGCTAGTTTCAGTGTTTATTCCAGCCTTTTTTGTCCGGGGGGGGGGGGGGCAATTGAAAATTTCGCGGGGGGGGGGGGGGGGGGCGGACACTATTAAAAGTGTATGTTTATTATATAAAAATCCATCTCGTTCGGGAGGGGGGCGTTAAACTTTTTTCGGGGGGGGGGGCAGAGCCCCCCCCCCCCCCGAAGAGATGCATGGAAGAGACTCTGACTAGTTTGGCTTTATCTTACTGTTTTGTATTGATTAACATCCATGTTTAGCTGTATGACCCATATGTGCTATATCATACGGCTTTGTATTGACTTTCTTGAAACATATATCCACAGGTTTACTGCTGATGATTATTGGGTACTCAACGAATTACATCGGCAAATGGGGGAGTTTTGTGCACGCGGGGTTATGGGATGTCTGTTTGATAGATAAAATGTGCTACGAACTAGAGCTGTTTCATTACACGGAGAATGAAGTAACATGGAAAGGTAAATACTTGCGGTTTATCAACAGTAAAACTGTTATTGTTATGGGTAGATAAGTTGTAACGTGCATATGGTATAAGAAAAAAAGGGGAGATAATTCTTCGATTTTTTTTTCTTCGAATTAGTCTTGTAGACCACCATACTTAAACAACTATAATTTTTATATCCTGATCCAGCAATAACAATACATTTCACTTAGGGTTTTTTGGATTAAGCTGTCATATCTTGATTAACTGGGGTTTGAGTGGAGGCAGTAGCGTAGCGAGGGGGGGGGGGACATATGTCCCCGGGCGCCGACCTTAGGGGGCGCCAAAATGGTTTGGAAAAATAAATTGAAAGGTTGAGGGGGGTGCAAATCGAAAGTTTGAGGGGGGGGGGGGATGCAAATCGAAATCTCGAGGGGGGGTGCAAATCGAAAAGTATGTCCCCGGGAAGGGTCGCTACGCCTCTGAGTGGAGGTAGGGGTGGGGAATGGGGGGGGGGGGGCATATTAAGCAGTATATTTTAGTATGCTATATTTATGTCGTTGATTCAAATATATCTGGTATTTAGTTTCGTTCTTTGGGACTTTAACCCGGGGATGACAATGGGTCAGGGGGGGGGGGGCGATGTGAATACAAATATTAAATGGCATCAGTTGTTTTGCTAAACACTAGCCCTGTTTCAGTGTGCAGTTCTAAGTACGTAAACCAGAGGCGTAGAGAGGGGGCGGGGGGGTGAGAGGGGTACATATGTCCCCGGGTGCCGACCCTAGGGGGGCCAAAAGATGGGTTGAAAAAAACTAATTAAAAGCTCATTTTAGCTACATATAACATATCATTGTTTTAAGCCTCTTCTTCTACTGGAGGGATCCGCTCCAGCACAATTAAGTAGACGTGTCAACTGCTTATGCGCCATTGAGGCATTGACTCCGATTTCAGCCTTGTCCAACCAAGAGCAAACTACAAGGCAGCAGATGTTTTATTTTGGTGTTTTGTCTCCTAGATCGAGGGTTTGAACTCGAGACTTTACGGTTTATAGCAACCATGAGCTTTACCGACTCGACCACGACGACGCCTGATTTTAAGCTAATCTATAACAAAATAATTTTGAGGCAAACAGTAGTTAGTTTATTTCAAATTAAAAGGTAACATAGTAAACTGTTTATTATGTGCAAAGTAGTAACCTAAGATAAGCAAAACAAAATACATATAAAGCTAAACAGTAACATAATTGGTTGTAGAGTAACTCATTATCTATCTATATATATAATTCTCTTCTGGGAGACGCTAGAAAACAAGCTGTATGCGCGCTCCCTACCACCCCACCCCTACATGGTCTGGTGAGCTTTGGTTAACGCTAAATGTTTACAATCGTAGAGCCGGATTTAGTGACGACTATTAGGGCAGATAATTTAGTTTGAAACTATTTTAAACTTAGGGGAGGTAACTAAGAGGAGGCTGCTTTCACGGAGGGGTGGGGGGTGGGGGGAAAGGAGGGTTTTAGTGTTTTAAAGCAAATGTTTTCAGTGACAGCATTGGTACTGTCGAATTCACAAATTATGAATTATTGAAAAGTAGAAAATAAAACTAAATAGCGGCGTGTTATACGCCGCGGGTCGGCTCGTAAAATTAATTTTTTTTATTTCGTCAGGCTGGTTCTCTACATGCCGGAAGTTACTTGCTGTCTGTCTATCAGTGGAGGTCGTGGTTCTCTTGATCACACTATCAGCGCTCCTGAAAAAAGGAACGATAACAAGCGCCTGGTGTACAAGTATTGTAGTGTTTCTTTCAGGTCAGTCCAGCTGATTTTTTTTTCATGTTATACATTTCATTTTTACGTTTACAGTTGCGCATACAAGCCAGTGGCGGAACTAGAAAAAAATGGCCCCCCCCGCAAAAATTTTTTTAGGCCCCTATATATATATATATATCTATATGTATATATATATATATATATATATATATATATATATATATATATATATATATATATATATATATATATATATGTATATATATATATATATATATATATATATATATATATATATATATATATATATATATATATATATATCGGGTGCAGTGGCGTAGCGAGGTCGGGTGTCACCCGGTGCGGCACTTAATGGTGTCACCCCCCCCCCCCAGAAAGAAATTAATTTTATATAATTTATATAGAAAATATATACTTTTAACAGTGCCCGCCCCCCCCCCCCCCCCCCCCTCCGAAAATTTCAAGCGCCCCCCCCCCCCCCCGAAGAGAAACGTCTGGAAGAAACACTGCCAAAGACCCACCCCATATTATAACCGAATATAACCCCTCCCCGTTACGGGCTAAACATGAAATTAAACATTAATACATTCAAAGGTGATATAGATCTTTTGGTTGTTTTTAGCCTTAAAAGCTAGATCATTGTATCCTAAATTTGATTAACTTTAATGTATTTAGTGTTAATAACTAATGTTCAATTAATACGTGTACTAATTATAAAACAATTAATAATATAAAGACGAGCCTTACCTTCCTTGTTGTGTGAATTAGACTCGTCAACAAAATACTTCATCAGGTAAATGAACAACTACTGACTAGTGTCTTTAACAAAATGTGCAGAAGTGGTCAGTTTACAGTTCAGTAGTTCATAGACGGTTCGTTAATCTATGCATTACATCTTATTGTAAGAGTAAGGGTGTGGTGAGGGGTAGAGGTGAGGGGTAGGGATGAAAGGGGGGTGAGGGGGGGAGGGGTGAGAGTTGGGAAGGTTTAAGGGAAGGGGACAAGAAAGTGCCGATAAACATCTACATCAATAGTGCCGACTTTTTCCGGTCGTCTAGAAGACCAGAATAGTCGCCGCAACATTTCCCCAGCCCGATTTCAAAGCGTGCCGGCAAAAACTTCAGATGCTTCGCTAAAGGGAGATAACTTAAACTTTCACAAGTTTATTGATACAGTGTTGTTAAAGTAAAAATGAACGCAATTATAAATGTATGACATCGAAATAAATAATTATATTTTTTGTAGAGTCCAGGCCAGTAGTTTTAAACACACAATCATATATATATATATATATATATATATATATATATATATATATATATATATATATATATATATATATATATATATATATATATATATATATATATATATATATATATATATATATATATATATATATATATATTTAATAATGTAAACAATATAACAATCCTTTTTTGTTCTCCTAATCGACGCCACTAAAAGTAAAAAGGTAGGCTACGTCTTTGAAGTTGTCTATATGTCTGGCGGTCTCTCGAGCTATAGTCTGTGCATTTTTCTCAAAGACGTTTGCCGACTATCGTGTTTTTTTGTAACTGTAGAAGAAAGATAACTCAACCTCCACCTAATTTTAAAAAAAAATTAATTTTAAATTTTTTTTTTTTACATTTTTTTTTAAAAATAATTTAGCCAGGATTTTTGGACCCCCATCGGTCTGCCCCCCCCCCCCCCCCCCGCATTGCGGTGTCTGGCGGCACTGTTGTTCCGCCCCTGCGTCTTTGAAGTTGTCTATATGTCTGGCGGTCTCTCGAGCTATATTCTGTACATTTTTTTCAAAGACGTTTGCCGACTATCGTGTTTTTTTGTAACTGTAGAAGAAAGATAACTCGACCTCCACCTAATTTAAAAAAAAAAAAAATTAATTTTTTTTTGTTTTAATTTTTTTTTTACATTTTTTTTTAAAAATAATTTAGCCAGGATTTTTGGGCCCCCAATCGGTCTGCCCCCCTCCCCCGCATTGCGGTGTCTGGCGGCACTGTAGTTCCGCCCCTGCGTCTTTGAAGTTGTCTATATGTCTGGCGGTCTCTCGAGCTATATTCTGTACATTTTTTTCAAAGACGTTTGCCGACTATCGTGTTTTTTTGTAACTGTAGAAGAAAGATAACTCGACCTCCACCTAATTTAAAAAAAAAAAATAATTTTTTTTTGTTTTAATTTTTTTTTTAACATTTTTTTTTTAAAATAATTTAGCCAGGATTTTTGGGCCCCCAATCGGTCTGCCCCCCTCCCCCGCATTGCGGTGTCTGGCGGCACTGTAGTTCCGCCCCTGCGTCTTTGAAGTTGTCTATATGTCTGGCGGTCTCTCGAGCTATAGTCTGTACATTTTTTTCAAAGACGTTTGCCGACTATCGTGTTTTTTTTGTAACTGTAGAAGAAAGATAACTCGACCTCCACCTTTTTTTTTTTTTTTTTTTTTTTTTTTTTAAATTTTTTATTTTAAATTTTTTTTTTTAAATAATTTAGCCGGGATTTTTGGGGCCCCATTCGGTCTGGGCCCCCCCGCATTGCGGGGTCTGGCGGCACTGTAGTTCCGCCCCTGATACAAGCATACACATGCACATACGATTTAATCTATTTAGAACTGCACGTGCAATTATACTTATATTACATAACCATTTACAATTATAAATTTATGAACATAAACATATTTATATGAAGATATAAACAGCAATGCATTCGGTTGTTGAGGATTGATTATTTTGTTAATCAACATGGACTAAAATTTGATATATTCTGTCTACTAAAGTTATTCTGTCGTTTTGAATTTAGCAAATTATGTCTATTTAAATTTGACAGATTCTGTGTATTTAAATTTGACATATTTGTCTATTTAAATTTTACATATTCTGTCCATTTAAATTTTTACATATTCTGTCTATTTAAATTTGACATATTCTGTCTATTTAAATTTTACACATTCTTTCTATTCTGTCTATTCTGTCTATTTGAATTTAGCAAATTATGTCTATTTAAATTTGACAAATTCTGTGTATTTAAATTTTACATATTCTGTCTATTTAAAGTTGACATATTCTGTCTATTTAAATTTGACATATTCTGTCTATTTAAATTTGACATATTCTGTCTATTTAAATTCGGCAAATTATGTCTATTTAAATTTGACATATTATGTCTATTTAAATTTGGCAAATTACGTCTATTTAAATTTGACATATTCTGTCTATTAAAATTTTACATATTCTGTCTATTCAAATTTTACATATTCTGTCTATTTTCAGTTATTCTTGGTCTAGTTGGTATAGGCGTGGCGGCGGTTCAAATTAATAAACTTTTGACAACACCTTTGTCAGGAATCTCTGCCAGTTTTGGCTACACTGTGGGCTGGTCTTTTGACCTGATCATCTCTGGCCTTCTTCTGTTTACATTGTCTGGAGTTCTCAACATTGTGGACGCGAAGAGATCGGCTAGACAAATTACGTAGAGTTTGTAAAAAATATTTTAAGTATTTTTATTTGTTTCTAAGATATGATATTTTAATTAAGTCATCATTTTGATGTTTTATTAGCTTCAAGATATTGTGCTACTTTTTAAAAAAAAATCTTTTTTTAACGAAATTTTCAGATGTTTATTATTATTTATTTTTAGGTGTTTCATATTTTATGATTTCCAAAGACTTGATTTTACAATGTGAATTGTGTAAACTCTTGATTCAACGCTTTTTGTTTTGCTGCTTAAAATATAATTAATATGAATTATTGCTCTATCAATAATGATTCAAGTCTTAATTATTGTCAGTATAAAATTAGTTAATTTTTGGTACAAATGTATAGTAGGAAAATGTTTTTATCTTATATACAAACGTGAAAATCTGTATGAATTTTTTTGAATTGATAAAACAAACATTTCAGACCATAATAAAATAAATAAAAAATTTTCAATTACAAATACTTTCGCTAAATTTAGCTGTAAAAAAACTTAATATTTTGTATTGAAAGCGTGTATATTTTAACTTTGTGCTTTTTAATTATACTAAAGAAAGACCAATGTGTCAATTTAAAATTTCAGAAATTTACTTTTTTGAAAACATTAAAAAATTGTTCTTAAAATTAGCCATAACCTATCTCTTAGACGATACAAATTTTTAATAAAATACAATATTTTGAGCGCACTGAATAGATAGTGTAAATACGTTTTGTTATCTTTTACGTAATTAGCAAATAGTGATTAGATTATCAAAACAAAATTAAAAAAAGGACTATAATTACAAAAAAAATAGTTTGTTGTTTATCTAGTTCACATATGTCGGTGGACAAAAGACCGCGTCTTTTAACAGTCAATATTTATTCTAGTGGTTAGACAACTTATTTTCTCAGCAATTTAAAGAGAACTAAACGAATCAAAATTTTAGGAAAAATTATTCCAATAAAATTTAAAGCACATAGTTCATTCATAAATGTATGTTTGTATGTATGTATGTATGTATGTATGTATGTATGTATGTATGTACATATATATATATATATATATATATATATATATATATATATATATATATATATATATATATATATATATATATATATATATAACCTCAGCATATACTTATTATAAAGGGATATTGTTAGTATCAGGGTATCGTTCAGACATTTTTTCTCCTCGTGTAATCTTAAAAACTTTAGGTGTAAATAAGGGGGGGGGGGGGGACACCTGAACCTTCGGGAGGGACAAGCTGTTACAAGCAAGACGGGGGGTACCTGATTCACGTCAAGGAATGTAAAGGCTTCCGGACATAGTGCTGACCATCCTATAGATTCATATGTCGAGTTAACAGAAACAGCTGAACTCTACTTCTCTTGCCTTATGAACTATTAGGCTAGATCTTCGAACATGACAATTATAAATTTGAAACAGGATAGAATAACGATTTGACCAATTTTATGTTGTATAAAGCAGTTACGGAGTGCATAGGCGTAGCGAGGAGGGGGGGGGGGGCGGGTGACACCATTTAGGAGATTGACACCAAGGCAAAAAATAGCAAAACATATAGAGAAAAACTTGAGGGGGGGGGGGGGGTGCAAAATCGAAATTTTGAGGGAGGGGGGATGCAAATCGAAAATTTGAGGAGGGGGGGGGTGCAATTGAAAAATTGATTGGGGGGTGCAAATCGAAAACTTGAGGAGGGGGGTACAAATCGAAAATTTGAAAGTTTGTCCCCAGGAAGGGTCTCTACGCCTATGGGGGGGGGGGGGTGACACCATTAAGTGCCGCACCGGGTGACACCCGACCTCGCTACGCCACTGACGGAGTGGTCTAGCGGTAGAGAGCTGGAATACTATCCCGTAAGTCTCGAGTTCAAGTCTGTAGACCGTTCCTGACTCCACCCAATTCTGATGGGTACCTAACTCACGTTAGTGAAAGTAAAGGCGGCTGGGCATAGTGCTGACCACACTATCTCTCCATATGCCGAGGTCACAGAAACAGATGAACTCTACTTCACTTGCCCTATAGACCGTCAGGTTTAAAAAGGGAACTTCACTTTACTTTTACAGCAGTTACGCTAAGGTTGCATACTGTGAAATTTAAATGGCCACATTCCAAACTTTAACTAACACGTTTTTTAATGGAGCCGTCTAGCGAACTGTTAGAGTAAGCGTATGATCGCTTTCACTAATCGATACTGGAAAAATCGATCAACCGTAAGAATATAATTAATCGCGACCCCAACACGAACCATAACTTATGACATGCAAATTTATTTTTTTCATTTCGTTAAATTGAGGTCACATTCGCTTTTATTTTGTTAGACTTGACGTCATACAGTCAAGTTTGTATTAACCCATACAAACAGGATGAAAGGAATACTCGATCAGATACTTAGGGTAATAGAAGTGATCGCTATATACGGAGATATAGAAAATATACCTTAGGGCTTACATTATGTTACATGTTAAACTTATAGGTAACTTTTGCAGTGCGTCGCAATATTTGAGGTAGTCGTCATATATATATATATATATATATATATATATATATATATATATATATATATATATATATATATATATATATATATATATATATATATATATATATATAAATATATATATATATATATATATATATATATATATATATATATATATATATGTATATATATATACATATATGTATATGTATATGTATATAGATGAACATATATATCATATATATATATATGTATATATGTTTATATATAATATATATACATATCTATCAGATATATATATATATATATATATATATATATATATATATATATATATATATATATATATATATATATATATATATATATATATATGCTGTTTTCATATTCTTTCATATTTTAAATGCCCCGGGTCATACTATACGTATTTTTTTTACGTGGGTGAAATGTTAAGATCTAAGTCAGAGTTCTGCAGTACCATAATTGTGCCATTATTCGGTGTACACCTAACCCACTGACACAAGCTCAACTGAGACAGCTGCTACACAGTACTGACACAGCTTCACTGTGTTGACCTAATCGTGTGTGTCCATTTTAAAAGCAAACAAACTTATGACTTAAGTCCCTGATTTTGTCGCTGACGCTGTCGAAAGCGGGAGAATTCCTTTGTTCGGCAGATCTGAGAAGATCCAGCCGACAGACGCAACAGACGGGTAACTGAATGGCACCGGCTGGCATTGATCTTGATCCGTGACACGTCATAGAAAGGTAAATACGTTCCGCTTCGTTGATCGTTTCATAACGTTAAAATCGCAGTTCTTGCCAGTTATATTTTGTTTTGCTTCATGAGTTAGGACCATGACCTAACGCCACAACCCTTATGTAAAGTGATGTGAAAATGAGCAGGATAGTTCTGTTGTGTGCGTTGTATGCCCTGCTCACCCTCGTCACTGCCTCGGTAAGTTACACCAGCAATTGGCTGTTTCTTCTTCTAATGAGTTGGTTACGTTCTGTAAATTTTTTTTTAAGACTGTTCATAATTTTTTTACGTATTAAAGCTTGTTGTTAGTCGTTAAATAGTTTAAGTAGTTAGTAGCGAAAGCTATTTTTTCAAAACTGTTAATATATTGCTACTAAGCTTGATGATAGTCGTTTCTTCGTTTCAAATAGTTGGTAGGAATGTTGTGTTGTAGGTAATCATCGACGCTATATTTAGAGTTGGTGTGAGGCAGGGAGGGGAAGGGGGAAGTAGAACAATATATAACGTTAGCCATATGATTGTTACAATACTATTGTTGTTTAAATTTAAATATTTTTTTTCGCTCTGTGTGTTCTTAACGTTTTTATTGTCTTTTATTTCTTTGTGTTATTAATGTTTTTACATTCTTTATGTTCGTTGCGTTCTTAATGTTTTTATAGTCTTTATGTTCTTTGTGTTCTGAATGTATTTAAGTCTTTTAATGTTCTTAGTGTTCTTAATGTTTTCGCAATCTTTATGTTTTTTTGTGTTCGTAATGATTTTTATTGCTATCATGTTTTTGCGTACTCGATGTTTTTCAAATTCTTCATATACTACGTGCTCTTTATGTCATTAGAGTCATATGTGCCCTTTGTGTCATTAGAGTCATATGTGCCCTTTGTGTCATTAGAGTCATATGTGCCCTTTATGTCAATAGAGCCATATGTACCCTTTGTGTCATTAGAGTCATATGTGCCCTTTGTGTCATTAGAGTCATATGTGCCCTTTGTGTCATTAGATTCATATGTGCCATTTATGTCATTAGAGTCATATGTGCCCTTTGTGTCATTAGAGTCATATGTGCCCTTTGTGTCATTAGAGTCATATGTGCCCTTTGTGTCATTAGAGGCATATGTGCCATTTATGTCAATAGAGTCATATGTTCCCTTTATGTCATTAGAGTCATATGTGCCATTTATGACATTAGAGGCATATGTGCCCTTTATGTCAATAGAGTCATATGTGCCCTTTGTGTCATTAGAGTCATATGTGCCCTTTGTGTCATTAGAGTCATATGTGCCCTTTATATCAATAGAGTCATATGTGCCCTTTGTGTCATTAGAGTCATATGTGCCCTTTATGTCAATAGAGTCATATGTGCCCTTTATGTCATTAGAGTCATATGTGCCATTTATGTCATTAGAGTCATATGTGCCCTTTGTGTCATTAGAGTCATATGTGCCCTTTGTGTCATTAGAGGCATATGTGCCATTTATGTCAATAGAGTCATATGTTCCCTTGATGTCATTAGAGTCATATGTGCCATTTATGACATTAGAGTCATATGTGCCTTTTATGTCATTAGAGTCATATGTGCCCTTTATGTCATTAGAGTCATATGTGCCATTTATGACATTAGAGTCATATGTGCCTTTTATGTCATTAGAGTCATATGTGCCCTTTATGTCATTAGAGTCATATGTGCCATTTATGACATTAGAGTCATATGTGCCATTTATGTCAATAGAGTCATATGTTCCCTTTATGTCATTAGAGTCATATGTGCCTTTTATGTCATTAGAGTCATATGTGCCCTTTATGTCATTAGAGTCATATGTGCCATTTATGACATTAGAGTCATATGTGCCATTTATGTCAATAGAGTCATATGTGCCCTTTATGTCATTAGAGTCATATGTGCCCTTTATGTCATTAGAGTCATATGTGCCATTTATGACATTAGAGTCATATGTGCCATTTATGTCAATAGAGTCATATGTGCCCTTTATGTCATTAGAGTCATATGTGCCATTTATGACATTAGAGTCATGTGTTCCCTTTATGTCATTAGAGTCATATGTGCCTTTTATGTCATTAGAGTCATATGTGCCCTTTATGTCATTAGAGTCATATGTGCCATTTATGACATTAGAGTCATATGTTCCCTTTATGTCATTAGAGTCATATGTGCCATTTATGACATTAGAGTCATATGTGCCTTTTATGTCATTAGAGTCATATGTGCCCTTTATGTCATTAGAGTCATATGTGCCATTTATGACATTAGAGTCATATGTGCCTTTTATGTCATTAGAGTCATATGTGCCATTTATGTCAATAGAGTCATATGTTCCCTTTATGTCATTAGAGTCATATGTGCCCTTTAAGTCATTAGAGTCATATGTGCCCTTTATGTCATTAGAGTCTTTGTGTCATTAGAGTCATATGTGCTCTTTATGTCATTAGAGTCATATGTGCCCTTTGTGTCATTAGAGTCATATGTGCTCTTTATGTCATTAGAGTCATATGTGCCCTTTGTGTCATTAGAGTCATATGTGCTCTTTATGTCATAAGAGTCATATGTGCCCTTTATGTCATTAGAGTCATATGTGCCCTTTGTGTCATTAGATTCATATGTGCCCTTTATGTCATTAGAGTCATATGTGCCCTTTATGTCAATAGAGTCATATGTGCCCTTTATGTCATTAGAGTCATATGTGCCATTTATGACATTAGAGTCATATGTGCCTTTTATGTCATTAGAGTCATATGTGCCAATTATGTCAATAGAGTCATATGTTCCCTTTATGTCATTAGAGTCATATGTGCCATTTATGACATTAGAGTCATATGTGCTCTTTATGTCATTAGAGTCATATGTGCCCTTTAAGTCATTAGAGTCATATGTGCCCTTTATGTCATTAGAGTCTTTGTGTCATTAGAGTCATATGTGCTCTTTATGTCATTAGAGTCATATGTGCCCTTTGTGTCATTAGAGTCATATGTGCTCTTTATGTCATTAGAGTCATATGTGCCCTTTGTGTCATTAGAGTCATATGTGCTCTTTATGTCATAAGAGTCATATGTGCCCTTTATGTCATTAGAGTCATATGTGCCCTTTGTGTCATTAGATTCATATGTGCCCTTTATGTCATTAGAGTCATATGTGCCCTTTATGTCAATAGAGTCATATGTGCCCTTTATGTCATTAGAGTCATATGAGCCCTTTATGTCAATAGAGTCATATGTGCCCTTTATGTCATAAGAGTCATATGTGCCCTTTATGTCATAAGAGTCATATGTGCCCTTTATGTCCCCAGCCGACCCTGACCCTGAGCAAGAAGCTTGCTGTCATTAGAGAGAACACCGCAAAGACGGAGTACCTGTCGGAGGTCAACTGTAGTGACCCGGACAACGACCCCACCACCGCCGTCATCACCAACGTCTCGCCGTCTACCACAGCGTGCGGTAGTTGCTTCGTCCTGCTGACCTGCCCTACGTGTGAGTACTCAACAGGACATTCACTGCGGCGTACTTGTTTAGATAAAGGACATGGCATGTGTTAGGGTTAGGATGAGCGTTTGGGTGTATTAGGACAGGCAATACATGTTTAGATGTGTAGGACAGGGGACAATAAGAGGAGTTAAAACTACATGGTTCAAGTTAAGTTAGTTATTAGAAAACAATGCATTAGTTGTAATATAGTTGAGACTATAACACAATACGGTTTTACGGTAAATAGATACATGCTCTTTGCGCAGTACGTCACTTGATGAATTATAACCAAAAACGTGAATTGTTTAGATTATACGTCATTATTCAGACCAGGTTTACGTTGGACAACAGAGTCCACCCAGCTCTGATGAGTACCTGACTTGCGTTAGGGAAAGCAAAGGCGGCTGGTCACATACTGACCACTGTTATAATCGACCTTTCGTTCGACTCCAAACACGATTCAAGGCACTGTTCAAACCTTAATTTAACTTGTCATTTTCATTATTACACCGCAAGCCCTCAACCCTAGCCGCTACTTTCATAATAGGTATATACCGGCTAAGGTGTATCACTCCCGTTAGACAGGCAGGCCTCGACGTCGTGAACTGCGACTACCTGGTTTTATACGATCGGAAACAGACCGCGAAGATACCAGTACTAACAAGCCCCTTACAATTGTTTACTCCAGCTTTTATACCCCCACTCGTCCTTGGGATAACAAAACCCTAAACACCCCGGGGTTAACTCAACTCACACAAGCCACTCCCCTACGTTCTACACTATTCTAGCCTATTCTAATTTATCCTACAATTTAACCGTAACAACCACGCTATCCAATTCATATGCTGAGGTCATGGACAGTCAGGTTCGAAGGGAAAACTTCTAACATTTAAGACTAAGTTTAGCATTTTTTTGACTCAATTTCACCATAAAACAAATGCTGTACGTCAAACATTCAGTATCAGCAAATGTATGTCCACATTTCAAAGTCCCATTTTACAGGTATATCCAACTTCAAGGGGGGGGGGGGGGGGGGTTGCAATTTTTGCCCGGGGACAAACTTTCGATTTGCACCCCCCCCCCTCAAACTTTCGATTTGCACCCCCCCCCTCAAACTTTCGATTTGCACCCCCCCCCCCTCAAACTTTCGATTTGCACCCCCCCCCCCCTTTAAACTTTCGATTTTCACCCCCCCCCCCCTCAAACTTTCGATTTGCACCCCCTCATACTTTTTATATTTATACCGAGGGGTCTATGGGGGGTTATGACCCCCCCTAACCCCCCCCCTGCCTACGCCACTGCCAACTTCTATCCACCAACAAAAGTTGCTTGTCTAAATTTCAGCAACCAACAAATGCCTCCAGTACAAAACAGGGCAGGGAACTCTGGATTACTCCATCACCCCGAGTTACCTCTTCACCATCGAGTGCCGGGACAACAAGGAGACCCCAGATAGCGAGGTCGTGGAGGTCAGGGTCATACCCAACTCGCCCCCTTACTTTGACCCCTACGTGCTGTACGGTGAGTATTTCAAACTTTTTTTTTACCATGCCCTGCCACAACTCCAAAACTTCGCTACAACGTTAAAATGGCTCCATCGTCAAAGAAACCAATTGATGACTGCAACTTGGAAATTCAACTACAAAGATTAGAAAGCATGTTGAGAAAATACATATATTGTCGGGTATCATCATCACCATCTCCACACAGCTGCGGTACCCAAGGTGGGAGGGGTCGTCGATAAATGACGTCACACAGTCACACAATTGGGGGGCGGGGGGTCAGACTTTTGTGACGATGTGTGACGTAGGGGAGAGGAGGTAAAAAAATCGACAAAAAGCGTGACGTCATTTAAGGACGACCCCCTTAGCATACGTTGTGTCGCAAGAACTGCCGAAAGGAAACCAAAAATCGGTGATCTTTTTGCCTCAGAAGATCCACTCTTGTTTGATAGTGGATTTTTCTCATCTAGTTTGTTGCTGTCCCTAGAAAAAGAGTTCCAGCTGCCCGATCAGTAAAAATTAAAATAACTTAATTCCATGTGCTCTTTTAGTGCTATAATAAGAAATAGGAAATTTACAGCAATATTATTTGCTACAGTTATATTATGACACGTATATGAATATGTTGGAAGCGACTCTGGAAAACATAAACAACACAATTGGGGAAAATTTTACATTATGAATTGTAATGACACTCTAATACTTAAACTAGTCTTTCATACTATACTTTTTCACGACGTAGTACGCAGCTTATTTATAAGGATAGTCACTTTTTTACTTTCTCGTATATACGAAGTATAGAGAAAGTCTTGTAATCCTGCAAAAAAAAAAAATCGATATTTTTACAAATCTCGACGTTTTACACCTCACTGATATGGAAAAACATAATTTTGCAATCTTGTCCGTATGTGTGTGTGTGTGTGTGTGTGTGTGTGTGTGTGTGTGTCTGTCTGTCTGTCTGTCTGTCTGTCTGTCTGTCTGTCTGTCTGTCTGTCTGTCTGTCTGTCTGTCTGTCTGTCTGTCTGTCTGTCTGTCTGTCTGTCTGTCTGTCTGTCTGTCTGTCTGTCTGTCTGTCTGTCTGTCTGTCTGTCTGTCTGTCTGTCTGTCTGTCTGTCTGTCTGTCTGTCTGTCTGTCTGTCTGTCTGTCTGTCTGTCTGTCTGTCTGTCTGTCTGTCTGTCTGTCTGTCTGTCTGTCTGTCTGTCTGTCTGTCTGTCTGTCTGTCTGTCTGTCTGTCTGTCTGTCTGTCTGTCTGTCTGTCTGTCTGTCTGTCTGTCTGTCTGTAAACACGGTAACTTGAGTACCGTTACAGCTAGGTTGATGAAATTTCATATATAAGTATTTTATCAAAATCGTAGAACCGTATCAACTTTTGAGCGATTTCCAATAACCGGAAGTGGTACTTTTTCTACTTTGAATTTTTAAAAAGCCTATAACTTAAGTACCATTTCAGATAGATAAATGAAATTTCACATGTAAGTAAAAGATCTAATTCCCTACCTGCTATAAAAGTTTGAGTTATTTCCGTTGACCGGAAGTACTAATTTATGCTATTCCCGATTTCTCAAAAAAGCATGTAAATTTATAAAGTACTAATAATATTGCGCACTATTATGCACATTTTGTTTTGGCGTTCGCTTGGTGCGCAATTCTTTTTTTCTACGAGATTCTATTCTATTATTAAAAGTTTAAGTAATTAAAAATCATGTCTATATTCCGAGTTAAATAAGAATATTCGAGAAAGTTTAGGGGAGATCACTCCCGGTTTATTATCCTTGTTAATGCCGTGTATACTATTCACCCGAATAATATTTCTAATCGTGTCCATGTTTGTCATGCCAGTACAGTTTTCTTTTATTCATATCCGACTTCCATCCGAGCTGTTCCCGTCTTCTAATCATGTAGCCTACATGCTTGTCCATCTTCTAATCATGTACATGCTTGTCCAACTTCGTTTAGTTTCAATCTTCCTCACAAGGCCATCTCCCATTTTTGTCCATTTTCCATGTAAGTTATTTCCTAACCTTGACGATCTTCTGACGTAGACAATTGAAGAAAAATATATAGACAAGTTAATGAACTATAAATATTTCAAGACAGTATGAAAATCAAGAAAATAAAACCAAAAAAGTTCTCTCGGAATCTTATAATTTCAAAAATGTCCTGCAAAATCATTACAATCACGTGTACATTTCTAATATAACATAATTAACAATTTTATTGTATAGTTCTAATATAGCATGATCAATATTTTTACTTGTACATTCTAATATAACATAATCAACATTACTGTTCTAATATAACTTAAATCTGTACAAGAAAAAACAAACAAATGACTTCTGAACTTTGACCTCCACAGACGCCGGCAGTATCAGTGTCAGTGGCGGCCCTACAACAATAATCAAGGACGTGAACGCCATAGACCCTGATGGAGACACCATAGAGTACAGCATGGTCGTCTCACCGTCCTCGTCGTCAGCTAACTACAAGATAGACAAGAGTAAGGGTTAGGATTAGGTTAAAGAATATACAGGTGCAACTCTGGGTGGGGTTAAATAATTAACAGGTTGAGTGCTAGGGTAATACAATATACAGGTGTAAGGATTAGAGTAGTATTAAACAATATACAGGTGTAAGGATTAGAGTAGTATTATACGATATACAGGTGTAAGGATTAGAGTAGTATTAAACAATATACAGGTGTAAGGGTTAGCTAAGTATTAACTATATATAAGTGTAAGGGTTAGAATAGTATTAAACAATATACACGTTTAAAGGTTAAAGTAGTATTATACAATATACAGGTGTTAGGGTTAGCTTAGTATTAACTATATATAAGTGTAAGGGTTAGAATAGTATTAAACAATATACACGTTTAAAGGTTAAAGTAGTATTATACAATATACAGGTTTAAAGGGTTAGCGTAGTATTAACCATATATAAGTGTAAGGGTTAGAATATTATTAAACGATATACAGGTGTAAGGGTTAGCTTAGTATTAAACAATATACAGGTGTAGGTAAAATATAAGTGGTGGAAGCTAGAAGATAGGCTAGTACTAACGGGTATCCTAGCTCTGACGGCTTTAATCTTTAAAATAATTTTTACCTCAGTGTTACATTTTTTTACTAATCTACCTTGCATAAACCTATCCCTTAAGCTAGCATGCATACCTACATTTAACAAAAAAATATAAACACCTGCACTGTAATATTGCGTTGTGTTTTCAAGAACACATGTATTCGACGCTCAAAAACATGCGATTTCACTGAACCGTTGACTTTTTTATTGTTTGCCTATACAGCAACAGGTGTGATAAAGCCGTTAATTGACATGAGGAAAGAATGTAGACCTGACATCTCGTTCAGTGTGTACATCAGTGATGGGAAAAATAAAGTGGGACCACTGGTCATTGATAGAAATATTACAGGTAGGTATATTGTTATAGAACTATTACAGGTAGGTGCATTGGTCATTAATAGAATATTACAGGTAGGTGTATTAGTCATTGATAGAACTATTACAGGTAGGTGTATTGTTCATTGATAGAACTATTACAGGTAGGTGTATTGGTCATTGATAGAACTATTACAGGTAGGTGTATTGGCCATTGATAGAACTATTACAGGTACGTGTATTGGTCATTGATAGAACTATTACAGGTAGGTGTATTGGTCATTGATAGAACTATTACAGGTAGGTGTATTGGTCATTGATCGAACTATTACAGGGAAGTGTATTGGTCATTGATATAACTATTACAGGTAGGTGTATTGGTCATTGATAGAACTATTACAGGTACGTGTATTGGTCATTGATAGAACTATTACAGGTACGTGTATTGGTCATTGATAGAACTATTACAGGTATGCGTATTGGTTATTAATAAAACTATTACAGGTAGGTGTATTGGTTATAGAACTATTACAGGTAGGTGTAGTGGTCATTGATAGAACTATTACAGGTAGGTGTATTGGTTATTGATACAACTATTACAGGTAGGTGTATTGGTCATTGATAGAACTATTACAGGTAAGTGTATTGGTTATAGAACTATTACAGGTAGGTGTATTGGTCATTGATAGAACTATTACAGGTAGGTGTATTAGTCATTGATATAACTATTACAGGTAGGTGTATTGGTCATTGATCGAACTATTACAGGTAGGTGTATTGGTCATTGATAGAACTATAACAGGTAGGTGTATTGGTCATAGACCTATTACAGGTAAGTGTATTGGTCATTGATAGAACTATTACGGGTAGGTGAATTGGTCATTGATAGAACTATTACAGGTAGGTGAATTGGTGATTGATAGAACTATTACAGGTAGGTGTATTGGTCATTGATAGAACTATTACAGGTAGGTGTATTGGTTATAGAACTATTACAGGTATGTGTGTTGGTCATTGATAGAACTATTACAGGTAGGTGTATTGGTCATTGATAGAACTATTACAGGTAGGTGAATTGGTGATTGATAGAACTATTACAGGTAGGTGTATTGGTCATTGATAGAACTATTACAGGTAGGTGTATTGGTTATAGAACTATTACAGGTATGTGTGTTGGTCATTGATAGAACTATTACAGGTAGGTGTATTGGTCATTGATAGAACTATTACAGGTATGTGTGTTGGTCATTGATAGAACTATTACCGGTAGGTATATTGGTGATATAACTATTACAGGTAGGTGAGTTCCATGACAAATGATCTCAGACAAAATATCTGATGGACAAATGATTTCACTGACAAAAGATTGCAGGACAAAATATATCAGGACAAAATATATCAGGACAAAATATATCAGGACAAATGATACCATGGACAAATGTTCTCAGACAAAATATCTTAGAAAAAAATATTTTTAAAAAATTTGTCAGGTGGTTTTTATTTCTTGTTTTTTTATACACATAGTTATATTAATTGTGAAATATACTAAATGAATGAGTAAAACATCTATCGGTCATTGAACTGTAACATTGAACTATTACAAGTCATTAGTAAAACTATCACTGCTTGAAAATAACTACGGCTTGTTACAAGAAAACTAATTAACATAGGCCTAGGTCAGGGGTCGGCAACCTTTTCAGACCGAAGAGCCAAAAGTTACAATTTATAAAATTTCCCAGATTTTAAAGAACCGCCAACATTTTTTTTAATATTATGATCTTTATTTAGGATTTGGTATATATATATATATATATATATATATATATATATATATATATATATATATATATATATATATATCAATGTTTATTTGTTTGTGTGTGTGTGTGTCTGTTTTTCTTTTATGCATTACTACACCTTTCATCCGATCGCCATGAAACTTTGGGAAGTTGCTAAGAATGCTCATGGAAAGGTTTCTGCGAAAAAAAGTTTTCAAACTCGCAGGATTGCCCCCCCCCCCCGGCAGCGCGCTATTCGATTCTTCTCTATATAAAGTATATAAAAGTAAAGTCGATTGCGGTTTGACACCGTTCATCCGATCGTCATGAAACCTTCCGGAGTTGACTAAAACACTCCAGGAGAGGTTTGTACAAAAAAAATCATTTTAAATTTTTTATGGGCGGCGCCCGGGTGGTGCATTTTCTGTCAATTCACCTATTGGCGCCCAGAGTTCCCGAGTGGCTATGTTAGTACTTGGCATCCATTAATCGGGCGTTCTGCATATCGGGTAAGGGGTACTACAATATTCAGCGGCAAAACTGCAACAGGTGCAACCGCCGGCTCCTCGTCGATTGCGCGACCCGAAGCGCCCCGGGCTCACCTGCGAGCACTATGGCGCCTACGTTCGTTTTTTAAAATAGACTATACACTATAGACACGCGTTGATTTAGTCGCTTACTAATCAAATCAGGCGCATCTTCCGGCTTCTCTGCAGGGTGCGATTTGGCGCCCAGGGCTATCCCGCGAGCACTAAGCACCTATCTTTGTTTTAAGGAGCACCCTACAATACGACATACGATGATTAAACCGAGCTAGGCGCCGTACGCAGCGCCACTGCGGTAGTGTAATCGGGTTCACGAGAGAGCCACTTTCCGTCCTCGACAATTAGGCGGTGAGTGATTAACGGCGATAATGCGGCGAGTGATTAACTTACACTCAAGTCTTTCATACAGCACGCCATGGTGGTGGGCGGTAGTGTAAGTAACCAGTGCCTTGATAAATATGATCCAAACACAGGTATTGTTTAAACTTAAATAACTCAGCTTTAGAAAACAAGGAAGTACATTGAAATAGGGAGTAACTAAATATTCTAATAGAATAGCGAATGTTTATTGTTTATATTTGTTATTATATCGTTCATTACCGAGTGCTGCAGACAAATACTTTTATGAGTTTTAAAAATAAAATAAAACAATTATTAATATTTGTGCACCGAGCTGAAGAGCCGCACCTTGACACCAAAAGAGCCGCATGCGGCTCGCGAGCCGCAGGTTGCCGACCCCTGGCCTAGGTGTTTAGAACATTTCTTTAAATTACTTCATTTAATCAACCTTAACTTTAACAAAACATTTAACAACAAATACCTTACCTAATCAACTCGAGACTTGCTTTACTAAAGAAAACCCAGACAATTTTTTCCCGTCTTTCATCCAGGCGCCAACGTGGCACCAATAGCCACCAACCTGAACACCATAGTCCAGATACCTGAGACAACCACTGGCACGGTGTTTGAGATGGTTGTTGTGGACAACCCGTCGGACACCGTGACCTTCACAACCACAGCAGACAACACCCCTGGCTTCAACCAGTTCACATTCCCGTGTAAGTCCATCTATTTATAGCTTGTTCAACACACTCTAAATATAATATATATATATATATATATATATATATATATATATATATATATATATATATATATATATATATATATATATATATATATATACATATAAACCAATCAATACACTAATTATCTCTTAATTTCTGATGCCAGTGTTACACCCTTGTTGAATTTAAAAATTGTTGCTGTTTTCTGCTGCTCAAAGTAATTCTAAAACAAGTAGCCCTGTCCGTTCATTGATGTCCTCTATCGAACAATTATATTCTAAACTCCTGTTTAACTTCACAACCATTATCTTACTTTAGATACCAACAGATACGATTTCATTTTCAATACAGTTATATAGTTTATTAGGCCTCTATAGATATTGGATGCAACCCCCTCCATCATAGAGATTCGTGAAATCCTTTCATTCGTTGGTAGGTAGGTAAGCCTGTGTCCACTCTTGGGACATTTGCCGCTTACAAGAGCTTTCCGTCTAGTCTCTACAAATGTCTCCAGATGTACCCAATCCTCTTGGTGTCATCCTCCATGTCACGTCTCTAAGTCTTCCTTGGTCAACCTTTTTTTTTTCTTTTACCCTCTTGATTCCAGATTAGAGCCTGTCTTGTTACGCTGAGTACATGCTTCCGTATCAATTTTCTTTGGAAGATCTCTTCTTCAGCTGGTTGTTGGTTTGTCCGTTGCCACAGGAACATAATTTCTTATGGTTTAAGCCAGCGTGTTCGAAGGGTCTTGCTGAGACATGGGTTTATAAATGATTGTATTTTCTTATTTGTGGCAGTTATTCTCCATGTCCAGCTCCTTACAGTAAAACAGGTATTACTGGTGTGTTACTAATTCTGGTTTCTATTCCTAGCGTTAAGTGGCTATTACTTCGGCATTATAAAATGAGCCAAAAGAATAAACGAGAATCTCCTCTCATTGTGATACTGACCTTCCAGAAAATGTATAGTCCAAACGAAAGATACGCACGACATCAACACTCTAATTTCAGTGCTAATTAAGTAATTGCATACAGCTATTATCAACATCTACTGTCCACAGCTTCTGTATCTGGCGGCAGTGTAAAGATCACGGCTGCGGCTTTGGATTACGAGAAGAAAGAATTGCGAGAAACGAACATCAACATTCAGTTTACTGACGGCTATTGTACCTCACCCACGTACAAGCTAACCTTAAGGGTAAGGTTACACGTCTGAACCACCCAACTCTGCAGTTTTACCACATGTTTTAAATAATCTAGTCCATTTCTGCCAACATTTTAATTTATCTTTGTAACCGATGCAAATGCAACCAAACCTATTTACGATTCTATTAATTCAATGGTTGAGTTGGATTGTAAATGACACTGATAATGTATATCCTTCCAATCTTTGATTCTCTAAACTCATAATGTCACTGATTCTCTTTAATCTAAATACCACTGATTCTCTATACTCAAAATACCACTGCTTCTATATTCACTAAATACCACTTATCTCTATATTCTCTAAATACCACTGATTCTATATTCTCTAAATACCACTGATTCTATATTCTCTAAATACCACTGATTCTATATTCTCTAAATACCACTGATTCTATATTCTCTAAATACCACTGATTCTATATTCTCTAAATACCACTGATTCTATATTCTCTAAATACCACTGATTCTATATTCTCTAAATACCACTGATTCTATATTCTCTAAATACCACTGATTCTATATTCTCTAAATACCACTGATTCTATATTCTCTAAATACCACTGATTCTATATTCTCTAAATACCACTGATTCTATATTCTCTAAATACCACTGATTCTATATTCTCTAAATACCACTGATTCTATATTCTCTAAATACCACTGATTCTATATTCTCTAAATACCACTAAACTCTATACTCACCAGGTGATAGATGTCAACGAGCCGCCCAGCATATCCCCCACCATCCTGCCACTCACAATGTGTGAGGGAAAAGTAAGTGCCACACACACACTGTACTCAATGACCCCTTTAGCATTTCACAACCCCCTACCCCAATTATAAATAACTAATTACGTGTTTATCTGCCCCACCTTGTTGTAATCTTAAGGGCGTAGACATTTGGATATGGATTGGGAGGAGGGTGTAGTTACAATACTTTAATAATTTTATGATAAAGTAGAACTTTTACAATGCTGTCTCAAGGAATTTGACATTTATATATGGAAGGATGTCACTATCGATTACATATTAAGCAATGAATGAGGACAATTTAGTATGTAATTGAATTGACCATTCTTATTAATTTTAGAAATGTACATACACATTTATGCTCCAAATGTCTGAAAAAAAAACTATTCAGAACAAAAGTAATTACTAAGGAAAACAAAGTCCTGATTGTCAAGGTTTGTACCAATAGTTTACAAAGATGGAAGCCATAAAGCCGAAATATTGTTTCATGTTAAGATAAAAAAAAACGCTGATACTTCTCATTATGTCCATTCGACATTAAGTAAAAGTAAAGTTAATTGTCAGACCCATAGGGCAGCGACATTTGAGCTCGTCTGTTTCTTGACCACAGAAAATGAAGAGATGTATAGTGCGGACAACACTATGCCCAGCCAATGTCGGTACCATACAAGTACGATTCAGGTACGATTCAGGTACCATCCAGGAGGCATTCTGGTACTTTATAGGTACACTTTATGTACCATTTATAGCTGGGTAAACAACGGCTCGATTTTGTGTTCCGGACTTGTGACTTCCGGGTTAGCATTCGAGCGCTCTACCACTCAACTACTCTGTCCCATAGATACTTCTAATTATCCTCACTCAATAATGTCTGCCTGTATCTGTATGCCCCAGATCCAGATAGAGAACGGGTTTACCTTAACAGACCCCGACGAATCGGACTACTGGACCTGGTCATTTGAACCACCCAGGGACGACTTCCAAATCGACCCACAGACCGGTGCCATTAAATCTGTTGTGGACTACGATCTGGACAAGGCGGGGCTACAGAACAAACTTGAGAACCTCGTCGTTAAGGTAACACATGGAGGAGGGGGGTACTCGTCGTTAAGGTAACACATTGGTGTGGGGTGGTACTTGTCGTTAAGATAACATATAGGGGGGGTGGTACTTGTCGTTAAGGTAACACATTGGGGGGGGGGGGTGGTACTTGTCGTTAAGATAACATATTGGGGGGGGGGTGGTACTTGTCGTTAAGATAACATATTGGGGGGGTGGTACTTGTCGTTAAGGTAACACATTGGGGGGGGGGGGGGGTGGTACTTGTCGTTAAGGTAACACATTGGGGGGGGGGTGGTACTTGTCGTTAAGGTAACACATTGGGGGGGGGGTGGTACTTGTCGTTAAGGTAAAACATTGGGGGTGGGGGTGGTACTTGTCGTCAACGTAACATTGGGGGGGGGGGGTACTTGTCGTTAAGGGAGGGGGGTACTTGTTTGTTTTATTTTTTCAAATGTCAGTGTTCTTTCAGTGATATGTTTCGCGTTATTATTTTAAAATATCTTAAGTGATTTTTTGTTCCAGATACCTGTAATAAAATTTGCATTTTAGCATATTTTTATATTTAAGACTTATCAGTACCTTAAACAAAAAATCATTTTGCTTTGGTAGTTTATTGTATTATTATTTACATTTAATCGTGTACAAAAATGTAAACGTAATGTTAGCAATCATTGTTATTCAGGCGATTAAAAAAATGTGTATGAACTCTTTGTAAACCCTTTTAATTTTAAATTTTAATACCTTTTTATCTCAAAATTATTTTTAATATATCAAGTATATTCATTAATAACTGAGTATTTCAAAGTGATTTTCAAGTAAATATTGAGACTTGCATGCACTAACAATAACGATAAATCAATATAGTTTCGTTAATTTTAAGGTCAAGGACAAAGGCTATTTGCCGAATAAGAACGAGCCACAGGGTACGGCTACGGTGGCTTTGACCCTCAACGACTGTAATGACAATGCTCCGGTCTTTGATACCCAGTTTGTGGAGAACCTCGAACCCACAGAATGTACCCCGGCAGGTAGGTCGTTCTAGAGCCACATTATGTATCCCGGCAGTTAAGTCGTACCTAAGACCCACATTATGTATCCCGGCAGTTAAGTCGTACCTAAGACCCACATTATGTATCCCGGCAGTTAAGTCGTACCTAAGACCCACATTATGTATCCCGACAGTTAAGTCGTACCTAAGACCCACATTATGTATCCCGGCAGTTAAGTCGTACCTAAGACCCACATTATGTATCCCGACAGTTAAGTCGTACCTAAGACCCACATTATGTATCCCGACAGTTAAGTCGTACCTAAGACCCACATTATGTATCCCGGCAGTTAAGTCGTTCTAGAGCCACATTATGTACCACGCAGTTAAGTCGTACCTAAGACCCACATTATGTACCCCAGCAGGTAATTCATTCCTAGGGCTCATAGAATGTACCCCAGCAGGTAAGTCATTCCTAGGACTCATAGAATGTACCCCAGCAGGTAAGTCATTCCTAGGGCTCATAGAATGTACCCCAGCAGGTAAGTCATTCCTAGGACTCATAGAATGTACCCCAGCAGGTAAGTCATTCCTAGGACTCATAGAATGTACCCCAGCAGGTAAGTCATTCCTAGGGCTCATAGAATGTACCCCAGCAGGTAAGTCATTCCTAGGACTCATAGAATGTACCCCAGCAGGTAAGTCATTCTAGAGTCTACAGAATGTAGAAGTTTATTACCCAAAAGACCATACTTTCCAAATAATAATACTGATTCTTTACACTTTTCACATAAACATATCCACATAACGACAACTACACTGACTATCCTCGTAACACACATGACTATTGTCCTTTCCAACACTACCCACATCACCATAACCACTACCTTCACTACCCACATCACCATAACCACTACCCACACTACCCACATCACCATAACCACTACCCACAATATCCACACTACCCACACTGCGCATAACCACTACCCACATCACCATAACCACTACCCACACTACCCACATCACCATAACCACTACCCACTTTCCCCACAGCACCATAACCACTACCCACATCACCATAACCACTACCCACATCACCATAACCACTACCCACACTACCCACATCACCATAACCACTACCCACTTTCCCCACAGCACCATAACCACTACCCACACTACCCACATCACCATAACCACTACCCACACTACCCACTTTCCCCACAGCACCATAACCACTACCCACACTACCCACATCACCATAACCACTACCCACACTACCCACTTTCCCCACAGCACCATAACCACTACCCACACTACCCACTTTCCCCACAGCACCATAACCACTACCCACGTCACCATAACCACTACACACATCACCATAGCCTTTGCACATATCACCATAACCACTACTTTCATTACTCAAACTTCCCACATCACTATGCCTGCTACCCACACTACCCACACACCACTACAACATTCACCCACTACCGGAGCTAGTACAATTATTGAAATTTTATTTCTCCTAAATTGTATTTTTTCTTTTGATCAGGCACAATCCTCGGCTCCAAGCTTAAAGCCACAGACAAAGACTCATCTTTCAATCAAAATAACGTGATCGAATACTCGTAAGTCAATTTTTGTAAAACAAAGCTTACCTCAACATTGTCAACCCATCTAAGCAGTTATGTACCCCTCTCGAACCTGGAAGTCGATGGGGCAAGTGAAGTAGAGTTCACCTGTTTCTGTGACCTCGATATTTGAAAGCAGCATGCCTAGCTAGCTTTACTTTCACTAATCTGCATTAGGTACCCACCATAAGAAGTGACTTAAGTACTCTGCTTCATCTATTCCAGTAGACCATCAAAGATTAAAAAAAAACAACAACTATACATGACTAACCCTAACCAAATGTCTAATCCTAATAAGGAAAAAGTAGTCGAATCATTTTGAACCTTTTATCGTTTACTGTGTTCTACAGAGGATCCGGAGGAGCAGTGGCTGTAAACGCCAATGGTGACCTTGTTGTTCTAGAGGTGTTGCCTGCGGGTACTGTACTCACCTTTGAGGCCTACGCCTTTGACAAAGGTAAAGTACCTGGGCCCTTGAAGAGCAAGAACCCTTGTGTCGTCAGCGTCGCCTTCAAGGTGAGTCTGTCGATTCAATCTGAGTCTGTTAATCTGAGTCTGATAATCTGAGTCTGTCAATGTGAGTCTGTCAATATGATTTTGTCAATTTGATTCTGTCTATCTGTGTCTATCAATTCAGTATGAGACTGTCAATCTAAGTCTGTCAAGCTGTAATTCTATCTGAATCTGCCTTTCTGAGTCTGTCTAAGTCTGTCTATCTGATTCTGTCTGAGTTTGTCTGAGTCTTCCAATCAAACACAACTAGTCACATGCTATGTTAACTGTACTTGTGTCTGATTTATAAATAACTTTTGTTATTATTTCACATTTCAGTAACTTCCATATTGGTTTATTTCAGTAGCATTGGACATTATCTCATAATTATGTTACATGATTAATTGTTATAATTGCGTTATTTCCTAAAGACTCATTTCTTCATTTGTAATGTAATTCTGTAAACTTTTCTAAAATTTTAATAACATTTTAACTGTAAATTTATATAATTATCTAAATATCTATATATATAATTCTCTTCTGGGAGCCGTTAGAAAACAAGCTGCAAGCGCCTCCTTGCAGTCCCCTCTCTTTCTCTCTATCACTATCACTACCACCCCCACCCCACCCCCACATTGTCTGGTGAGTTGTGGTCACGCTAAATGTTTACAAAGCTAAATGGTTATAAATCGTAGAGCCGTAGAGCCGGGTTTCTATTAGGGGCAGATAATTTTGTTCGATTTTAAACTTACAGGAGGTAACTAAGAAATAACTAAGAGGAGGCTGCTTTCACGGGGGGGGGGGGGGTGTAGGGTCGGGGTTAGGGGTTAGGGGAAAGGGGGGTTAGTGTTTTAAAGCAAATATTTTCAGTGGCAGCATTGGTACTGTCGAATTCACAAATTATGAATTACTGAAAAGTAGAAAATAAAACAACTAAATAGCGGCGTATGATACGCTGCGGGTCGGCTCGTTTTAATAACTTTATCTGTAAATCTGTATAATTCTCTTTAAACAAGTAATTTATTTTTCCTACATTAGCCGTGCCCCACCACACCACCACCTGTTGTTGTCGTCACCGCTACACCCGCCGCCGCCACAACATCAAAGACATCATCATCTAGCAGCAGCAGCAGTGTGAGTAGAATGTGTCCTTTGTTTTCTGTCAAGCTACATTATCAACCCTCCAAAATGCACCCCGCCCCACATACTCCCCCACTACATACCCACCCCCACTACACCCCCAACCCCACTCCATCACAATACCACTCACACCACTCCTCCATCTGACCTCCCTTCCACCCTACCACACATTAATACGAATCACACCTCCACCCCAACCACACCTACACATACACCTCACCTCAACACACCTCCAAGCCAAACCCACCACACATCCGAAAAACTCTACACATTGAACCCGGGGTTCGAGTCCGCACGACGCTCCTGAGCCGACCTAAAAAGGATTGCTACTTGACTCATGCCAGAAGACGTAAAGGCGGCTGGGCATAGTGCTGACAACACTATCCCTTGATATACCGAGGTCAGTGAGTCAGGTAAACTCTACTGCACCTGTCCCCTATGGACCATAAGGCTCGAAAGTGTATATAAACTTACTTTAGACCACAACCCTCTGAAACACAAAGACCTGCTTTAGATTTTTTAAATTAAAAAAAAAGAGTATCTTGAGAAAGGGAAGGTTTGATAAACTAACAGCACCTAACTGTTTCCATGAACTGTGTGTAGAGTGATGCTATTTGTCTGAACTTTCCTGATGTCAGTCTAAAGACAGCAACATTGCTAATTATTCGATATATATATATATATATATATATATATATATATATATATATATAGAGAGAGAGAGAGAGAGATAGATATGTATATATATATATATATATATATATATATATATATATATATATATATATATATATATATATATATATATATATATGTATGTATGTATGTATGTATGTATGTATGTATATAAAAAGTATATGCATGTATAAAAATATACATTATATGAGCCTGTGTGTGCCTAGTTGAATGTGTGTGTATATGTGTGAGTGTGTGAATGCCATGTAATATAATCTGGTTATCTTCTTTTTTATTTGGGTTGTCTATAATTATCTATACTATGTGTCTAACTCTCATTTGTCCTAAACTTAGATCAATTCCCTGCTCCCCTGGATCATTGTGGCTTCCATTGCTGGAGCCTTCATGCTTGGCCTGCTGATCTTCATGGTCTGTCGGTACGGTCAGCTGTGTGGAAACGCCTGCAAGAACTGGAACTGTGGCAAGGACTGCTGTAGACCAAAGCCCAAAAGGTTGGTTAAAACATCGCTTACAAACCAAAGTTATTCAAAAAAATAAAAATAAAGCTTGTAGGCTGAAAGATTAGTTTTTTTATTTATGTTTATAGTTGCTTTATAAAATTTAAATTTAATTTATTTTACAGGCAGAGGATTCTTGTTAGAAGTCGTTCAAATGAAAGAATTTTCTTTTAATCCAGAGAACGTTTTAAAGACTTTTAAACACCTAGCTTCACATTTCAGGCCTAGATTAAGTACTGCAAACTTTTCATACAAGAATAGTTACATTTTTTTAAAACGACCATTATGATATATTTTGATACTTTTTTTTATTTTAATAAAAATTAAAGAGTGGTCTTTGAGGTCATTCTATTTAAACATTGATTTCATCAGCTTCAAGGTTGGAACTAGCTTAACATAAACGTGATTGTATTTTTAAATGTTTCAATATGTACCATATTTTAAATGACTCAATGAAACAAAATTTAGATAATAATTTAAATAGCATTTTTATAGTCTACTTTATGTAGAGCATTTTATATAAACCATTATATTTTTTACGATTATATTAAAGAAGCAAAGTGTAAATTATTTTATTGTAGAAAAACCTAAAATAAAGCGGGCTAATTATTGTAATTACTACAAGCTTAAAAAACGTCAATGTTACATGTAAACTAAATAATTATATTAAAGGAATATTTGATACATAACTAGCGGTTGGCATAAATGCAAAATGTTTGATGATTTTTTTTAAATATTGTTTATTAACATAATATTATTCTAAGAAGCAATATTTAAAAAAAAATCATCAAACATTTTGCAGTTAATAATTTAAGAAATAAAACGTGGTAATCAGAAAATGTTGTTAATTACAGTAACCTATTTTTGTTTCTTTAAAGTAATTAAGTATATTCTATTTTCTAAGCTGATGCTTGATAGTACTCAATCTACATGCACGGGGGCAAATATTCAATATTTGTATAATTTTGTGTTTGTAATCTATCATTGTATTTATTTATGTATATTCTGGCTCAAAGTTCTTTCATTTTTTTTGTATTTTAGCTCTCTTTTTTACATTTTTACAATTTTTCAAAATATCAGAAATAGGCTTTTGATGACAATAGAGGCTAATGGAAATGATTCGTAAGTGGGATATTTTTCAAATATTTTTTGTGATGATATTAAAATTTAGATACAACAAAAGCATACATGATTTATATTACTGTCTTACCGTGTATGCTTATGACACTTGTTCGTACAATTAGTTTAATCGAAATGTTTACGATCGGAAGCAGATTTATGGTAGAAGGAGTGCTGGAGTTAAAAAAAATATTTTTAAAATATACTTTTATTGTGTTAACAATTATCAGACCAAAATTCTTGAAATGTCTCACATTCATTTGATTGCCCATAGACTGACGAAAACAAAACACCCGGTTTTTATGCAATTAGACCTGTGTTTTGTTGATTTCATTAATTAAAGTAATGACATTTTTGTATAGTCAGTGCTTTTCAATTCGTTTGAAACAATTATAAAATTGTACATTAATTAATTTAATGCAGATGTATTTGTTGATAGTTTTTAAAATAAAATAAAAATTCTTCTTTGTATATAATCTTTGTCTCAAAGCTATTTATAACTACTATCACTAATTTATCAAGTGATCACACAGACTGCATGTTTTATCGATGTGTCAATTAGTTTACCCCCTTTAAATTCACAGACCATTGTTTGTTTCTTAAATAATTGAATCTGCAAGCATTTACTATTTTAATTGGCAGTTAATTAATATAACAACACAAAAAATGCTAAATTTAAAGATGTGAATAAATTCTACATGTTCTCTTTAATATTGATAGAAAGTTAATAGACTAATGACCGTTAATTTATTTTTTTAATGTATTTATATTTTTTAAATTTTAAATATTACAACGAAGCCACTTTAAGGCGCAGTGAATAATCGATTACCAAAAAAAGAAAAGAAAAATTTCAACATATAAAAACATTCTGAAAATTATTTTTTTTTATTGATCATTGTTAAGACAGGAACACCTTAATTTGAATCATCCAGGTAAAATACTTAACAGTCAAATTTGATCTAAATATAAACACCTTTTCTAAGAAACACAATAACCAAGGTCATGTACAAACCATGCACGTGTCACTGAAAGTCTAGTATCTTCCATGCTCTTCTAGAAGGTTTGAAGTTCTAGAACCGAATTCCATGTTGAAGTAAAACGATTATGTTCGTGAACAAATATACATATCGTCGTCTCGTCTTGGAGAACATGCACCATGATATAGAAAGCGATACTATGTTCTAGAACCAAGTTCTACATTTAGAACAAGATTATATGTTCTATACAAATGTACATACAATTCACGGGGATGCGAAAACCACATATACAATGGCAACATACATATGACTCTACCCTAATGACTTTACAGTTTGTGTACAGAACAGATAAATTGAGCTTATTGAGTTACCTGTTACAATACACAATCATGTTTACACAGACAAAATCAGAGCACATTTATGAGTTGTATACAATTAATAAAAATGTACAATATCAACCGTTGTTATGAGTTTATATGTTTTAGTTCAATGTTATAGCTATAAAAGTTTATGAAGGGACTATAAAGGAGTCAAATAAAAAATCTGAAAAAGCAGTAAAACATGGTTTGGATGAAAAAAATTTAAGAAAAACAAGCTTTTCTTTTTAAAAGCCAAATAAAATAGAAAATAATGTTAAAGTAATAACAGATGGATATAAAATTTAAAAAAAAACACACCTAAGTATTAGATGAGAAGATATCAGTCAAAACATAATCCGCTATTATTTATGGTAAAACAACCACTAATATAACCGTTTGTGGATTTGATTTAAATTCACGACATCCAAAATAATTTACATAATTATAATGCAATTTAATTTAGTTTACATTAACCATCGTTGAAATTTTACAATTCAACTGTCAGCGGTTTATTCAATAAATTAATAATAATTACACTTTCCCGTATTAAATACAATTATTGCACAAATATTTTATTAGTAATAAACATTTTTTTCTTCTAATTTATATATATTATGTTGCATATAGTGAAAATTGGGTTGTATGTTATGTTCATTATGTTTATTATACATAGATGTAAAGTTATTATGATCATAATATATTGTAATACACAAGGTTTTAATGAATGCATGAATTCCATGAGCGATGTTTAATTCAACTAAAGGGTCCATTCAACTATCACACATATTTGATCTAAAGGCTTGAGGTATTAGTTTGCTAGTCAACTAGTCCCAGAATTCTTAGCACACAGAAGGTGTAGAAGGAAGCAATGATGTAGCAGAGGAACTTCTCTACGGGCATTTCCAAGTTCAAGCAGATCATCGTCATGATGAAGATGAAGAGGAGACCTTCCATTGAGTGCCGACCGAAAGGCGAACATTTAGCAAGAGCCAGTTCTGAGAGAGTTTTCACTGATGTTTCCGAGTCTACGACAGCGCTTCTTTCTTGGAGTTCTTCATGTTTGCTGGATTTGGATTTCCTTTTCCTGTCTGTCGGTTTGGAAGTCTTTTTCTTGTTTTCTTTGTCGGTAGGTTTAGGTTTAAAGAAAGAGGTTAGCGTGCCAGATAAAGTTTTAGGTTTAACATCTCGGGGTCTACGATTGCTTGCGTCTAAACCGTTTTCTCCCTGAGCTTCGAGTCTTGATGAAGAGTCAGAAGTGACGGAAGTGACGTGTTTGGGCCGTGCTTTAACCATAGCTATTGGTTTGTTGTGAGGCATGGTTGTGTCTGCGGGGGGCGGGTTGGTGATGAGGGACACCCCAAAGTGGGATGTTCTCATGGTGTCGAAACTAGCGAACGGGTTGGCCAACACAACAGGCATTGACGCAAAATTGAGGTCAGGTAACGCGGTGTCTTGATCAGTGGACTGGCTGAGCATTCTAGAACTTTCGGGTTTATTTTCAGTTTGTGGCATTAAAACTTTGATAGATTTCTTTAGCCTGCTAGTTAGGGTGAGTGGTTTTTGTGTATCTGATAGCGTTTGTTGTGTTTTTCTTTTTGATTCTTTGGTAGTGATGGAATCTGATTCGGCCTTCTTTCCGTTTGTCGTAGAACTTTGTTTGCTTTTTGGTTTTGAATCTAATTGCACTGCCTGCCCCTTGTTTACAGTTGCAGTTGCGCCTTTGGTTTTGACCTTTTGATTTGTTTTATCTACATCCAGATCTTGGTTAGCGTTTTGGTTAAGTGCTGCCTTATTCTCTCGGCCTGTATTAGAAGCCTGTTTTTGTTTGTTAACTGCGTCGGTGCTCCTTGTTACATTGGCAGTGAGTTTAGATGTAGACGGTTGCTGTTTACTTATCTGAGGTGATTTGTTCAATTTGGCACTCGACTGTTTCTTGTCTTGGCCAGATTTTGTCAGATCTTTCTGCTGTCTGGACGTCTGAACTTGACTGCTGGTGGTCGCGACGGTTGGTGATGTATCTCTTGGAACACTCAACTGCCTGGGTTTTGGGGCTTCTACCGTCGCCACTTCGACCGTTGTTTGGCTTCTATTAGCTCTTGTTTCAGATCGACTTCTTCTTTCTCCACTAACAGCCATCGCACCGCGAACATCTTTAGTGCTGTTTTTACAAGTATTTAAATTTTTGCCTGCATTTTCTTCTGGTGAAGGCAGTGTATGAGGGTTATCAGCATTTACAGTGATGTTGACTAAATCTTTCTTGTCTCCAGAAGTTTTCGATTTTACCTTACTTGATTTAGAAGGAGGCACTGGTATACCACGTTTTGTGTTTACGACACTCTTAGCTTCTGCACCCACTTTGGAACTAGATGAAGTCTTCATTGAGTCTAATGTTGACCGAGGACTTTTCTCTATATCCTCTTTAAAAAATGGCGTCAATTCTCTCGGTTCCCTGTCAACACTGATGTTTCCTGGGATTTGCAGTTCAGTCCCAAAACAAAGAGTCGCTGTTGTTTTGTTGTCATAAAATGGAGTAGGTTCTCTATGAAACTCTTTATTTTCAATTTCTGGAGAACCTCCTAAAAATCCTGTACCGCCCTTGTCCAAAAATACAGTTGATTCACGTGTTACTCTAGGACTATCCAAATTAAATATGTCATCGTCCTTGACACCGTGCAGTAAACTTTCAGATGTTAAACTGGATCCAAACGAGAAAGGCGTAGGTTCTCTTTCCTCCCGCATGTAGGCGTCAAGCGAGTTCCCGTTAGGAATGCGGATGCTGTCAGAACTCCTCAGGTTAGGAGAGCGGGGTTCTTCCACTTCGTCCCACATCTCCACCACGATAGGTGGCGCTGCTTCTCTCATAGCACCTGCTCTCGTGTTACTGAAGATCACGTTACTACCCTCTAAGTTAAATGTTGGGGGAATCTTCAAAACATTGCTTGGTTTCTCCTTTTCATGATCGCTTGCGTATCCTAAATTTGCTTCAAATCCTTTAGACACGCTTCTATCCTGAGCTGTATTCAATACCTTCATATTGCCCAGTTCTTGAGTTAAAGATACATTTTCAGATTTTTCCTTACACTTTTCTTTATCGTTGTTTCCTTTTTTCTTTTTACTGTCAGAATTTAAAATTTTCAAATCATTTTCTTGAGCATTATCTAACTTTAAATAATTATTAGAATTTTCCGGGTAAAACGTGGAGATGAGATTGTTATTAGTATTATCCCTATTCTCAATAATTTCGTCTTCTGATTGCAACGCGTTGGTGTTGAAAATGACAAGGTCCTGGTGGGTCGAGGGTTCATCGTTGTTGTTGCCTAGGTAGAAGAGAGGGTTCTGTGCTGGGGGCGTCTCGCTTAGCCCGGAGGAAGAGTCGCTGTCTGTGAACACGTCTTCATCAGAGGAACTGTCGTGATTGTCTTGTATACTTCCAGTGGAGTCTAAGAGTAAAGAGAGAACAATAAATTGAAGTGAATATGTTTTTATCATTTTTGTCATTAATAATTATAACTCTTCATCCGAATTTTTCAAAAATGAATTAAAATATACATCTTTCTAAATACATGTTATTGTAATCCAAAGTTAAAGAAAATATATGAATTGGTAATTAAAAAAATTAATTAAAATCAGTATTCATAAACGGCTTTTATAATAGATAAGGCTATAGTATTAATTTAAGAAGCAGCCATTCGATGCACATGTAATTATTCATGGTTGCAAGGAGATTAAGGTAAGAGCAAGCAAAGTTATAAATCACAATTCAGAACAAACAGATCTCAAACACAAGAATAAATGCAAACTCAGCACATCATAAATTACACAACACAACACGGAGGAATATTTAAAATATATTATCTTTATTTATATATAAAACAGATGAATTTTCCTCTCTTTGGAATGTTTTGCAAGCGTAATGAATTATAAAGATCCTCCATTTTGAAAAAAAAATGAGTTTCATTAGGTATTCTGAAAACTCAAGATATGCATATTGTTAACAATTCATTAGGATTTTCAGTTCACACATTCAACACACACATTGTTATAGATTATTGCGTGCTAATAGAGATATGCATATAATTATCGTTTTGTTAAAATCCACATTCCTAAATGCAAAAGACGCATTAGTAGAAACATCTTCAACACTTTCACATTTCCTGAAAATGTGCCCGATTTTTTTTCACCTTTTCGTGGAAGCTTCTTTATTTTGAGTTTTAATTGAGTCTAGAGTGTCAAAGATTTCTGGAGGTGCTAACAGGCTAGCCAGGTGTGTATAATCGGTTTACTCAGGTGTCAAGTTTACAACAATCGCTCAAGGTGTCTATTGGTTATGTGGGATGAAGAATGAGGAGACGTCTTAATCTTTCTTGATGAACCCTAGTTAATTAAAAGAAAAGATTTTCGTCAGATATAATAAGGTGATAGTAAATGCTGCTTATATATCAATTTAATAATTATATCGTTTTCCATTTGCCTTAATCTTTCTTGATGACCACTAATTAATTAAACGAAACATTTTATGAGATATAATAAGGTGATAATAATTACTAATTGTATATCAATTTAATAATTATACCGTTTTTAATTCAACTGACTTGTTTCTGATTAAAGTTAATTTCATGAACTTGAATGCAATTGATATAATTAGCACTTTTCAGTTCCAAACTTTGGGGGTAAACAAAAGTAATGTAAGTATGGAATTTATGGACTGAGTAAGAGATTGACCTCTTTACTTTTTACACATTTCAGGTACCCTTCAGAGCCGAGTAAATTTCGAATCTTCTTCACACAGAAGCAACTAAGCCAAGGCTCTATAGTTTAGCCACGGCGTAACTATTTTATTGAAATTATTTTCATTAGTCTAAGAGCAGTTGAAAGAACCCGGATGTGAGTACTTACTTCTTGCAGTGGTGCGAGTGGAATTGTATACAAATGGTCGAACGTTGCCAGCAGTAGTTTCGGTTTTATCGCTGTCTTGATTCACTGAAGACGGTTCAGATTTCTCTGGCTTGCTTTGTTTTAAAAGACTTGGTTGGTTTTGATCCGCGTCCGTCGAGGTGGTAGGTTTTTGTAGCTTATCCACATCGTCTGACCAGCCGGCTGCTCGACGGTAGACCGGAATATCACGGCTTCCGTAGGCGTCGCGGCTTTGGTACGACAGTCGCTTCTGGGCCAATGAGGTATCAGGTTGGGTTCTCTGTGAGAGCATCTCGTGGAAGGACGCACGCTTGGAGGCTACAGTCCCTGCTAGTTTCGTTAACTCAGACTGGTTTCGCGTTAAAGGTTTAACATCATTGCTCTGTTGGGGTGGGGTGTAGAGCGGAGTCGGGGTCGGGGATTTCGACCGCTGTCGGACTTCCGACGGTTTTAAGCTGTCGGAGATTTTCAAGTTCCTTATCGTTATTTCAGCTTCTTGCTTCCCAGGAACAGACAGCAGTTTGGCTGGCGACGACTGTTTTTTGACCTCTTCAAGGAACTGCTGTCGTAGATCACTGATAGAAGCAGCTCGTTTTAGAAATTCTTCGTCTTTTTGTCTTTTCGCGGTTTCAGTAGTTTTCTTCTTCGGTCGCCCTAAAGAATTTGTGTACGAGTCTTTCAAATCACTGATGGAAGATGAACGTTTAATTAATGCCAGATCAGTTTCTTCGACACTGTTTCGTCTTGTTTTGCTCCGTGCTGGTCTTTCTTCCGCCATCTTGTCAAACGCTTTCTTGATATCTGATATCGAATACGCGTGTTTCTCTAAAATATCGTCCCAGTATTTATGCTCCTCAGCGCTCATCACATCTCCACCTAAATGCGCCTCTAAACTCTGACGAAGCTCGGAAAACGAGTAATCTCTCTTATACACTTTGACCTCTTCGTCGTTATTCACGTCGTCCTTGTTTGCTTCTTTAAGTTTCGCTTCTTCTCTCAATCTTTCCATCCTTCTTTTATTCTCTTCCTCGTATTGCCTCATGAGCTGTTCTTGCCTCAGCTGTTCTTTCTTGTTCTCTCTCCGGCGTTCTTCTTCTTCTTGATGTCGACGTAAATCTTCCCGCATTTTGATTTCTTTCAACCTGAGTTCCTCCTTTTGTTTCTCTTCCTTTTCTTTCAACGTATCTTTTTGCTTCTGTTCTTTGTTTCTTAACTCTTCTCTTTGTTTCTTTTCTTTCTCCCTTAACTCTTCTTTCTGCTTCTCCTCTTTTAGTCGCAATTCTTCTTTTTGTTTTTCCTCTTTTTCTTTCTGCTCTTTTTTAATTTTATCGTCATTTTTCTCGGGTACAGCTGACTTACTGCCATATGGTGTGAACGTTCTCTGAACTTTATTTGTTAATGTGTCGTTTTGTTTCTTATCTTTTTCCTCAATTTTATCTTTCTCTGATTGCCGTAATGCATCTCTTTGGTTCTTTTCTCTCTGTCTCAAAGCTTCGATTTGATCCTTCTCTCTCTGTCTTAATGCGTCAATTTGATTCTTCTCCCTCTGACGTAAAGCGTCTATCTGTGTCTTTTCTTTCTGCCTTAACGAATCTAATTGACTCTTTTCTCTTTCTTTTAAAGCATCCAATTGACTTTTCTCTTTCTGTTTCAATGCATCAATTTGCTTTTGCTCCTGTGAGTTCTTCTGTTGATCTTTTGTTTGTAATAAGCTTGTGAACTTGTTATTCTCTGTTGGTTTTGAGGCTTCTTTGTTTTGCTTGTTCTCGGTTGGAATATGAGCAGCATTTTGCGACACTGAATTATTTGTCTTGTTGCTGTCTTTGAGATTTGTTTTATCAGTGGATGTAGTAGCAGATTTAGACTGAACGCTTGATGTGTTTGGTTTATTCGGTGTTGATTTAACGGACTTGTCTTCTGCTGGGGTTGTTTTGCTGAATTTGTCTACAGTTAATGGATTTTTGCCATTTCCTGGAGCGATTTGGTTGATTTTGTCTTGAATTCCCGATGTTTTATTCGTTTTGTCTGGGGTCTGAGCTGTCTTGGTACCAGTTGGTTCTGTCTTGTGGACTGTCTTATTCGCGGTGTCACCTTTTAGTGATGTCTTGTTCAGTGTCTCATTCTTGGTATCTGTCTTGTTGGCGGTGTCACCTTTTAGTGATGTCTTGTTCGCTGTATTATTCGCTGTAGCTTGTTTATTAGTGTTGTCAACTTTTACGGTTGTTTTGTTGACTGAATCACAAGTTTTGTTAGGAACCTCAGATGTCTTGTTAAATTTGTCGTGAACACCTTTAAAAATCTGGGGTCCGCGTTTGTCTGTCGGTTCTGGTTTCGTCTCCGTAGGTTCTAAATGCTTGGCAAACTTCTGCAAAACACTTTTCTTCGGAACTACTCTATCCGGAGCAGGCTCTGTTTTTGATTGGTCAGTTATTTTATTACCTAAATCAGTGGTTTTATTACCTTGGTGGGTAGCACTGTGGTCAGAATTGGAGTGTTTAACTGTTTTTTGAGCGTTTTCCTGTTTCTTATGGTCTATATCCTTGTTAACTGATTCTTGATGTGTTGTATGATGTGTTTTTGTTTCTTCTTGTTTTGTGACTTTATTTTTTATCATCTGCTCTCCAACACTCTTCTCTTGTTCTTGTTTCGTCGATTTATCTTTATCCTTTTCTTCATCTTTCATCTCAACATTATTCTCTACAACGTCTACTGCTTTACTCTTTCCGATTTCAGCGTCAACATTTTCCCTCCTTCTCCTCTCCTCCCTCGCTTTCTTCCTCAAACTCATCGCTTCCTCTCTTCTTTTCCTCTCTTCATCCATCTTCCTCTCCGCTTCCCTTTTCATTTTTTCCTCTTCCAACTTTTTCAACCTTTCGTTTTCCTTTTCTATCTTTAATTTCGTTTCCTCGGTCATTCGTTGCTTCTTAGATTCAGAAAGTTCCGCATTACCGTTTTGGCCAACGAAACGTTGTTTCCGACCAGTGGAAACTGGGGTTGCGGGTTCCGATTGCACCTGTCTGTATTCTGGATCCGCTGAAGACCAAAAGCTGCATGATTAGAACTAGACGCTAGCAATGGGGAGGTAATTAACAAGCAGATAGATGAGCATAAATAGAGCTGGTAAGTAGGTCACCAAACAGTTCTTTGGCTCATGCAGGTTTTATTGAGCCGTAGAACTGGTTAGTGACCTACTTACCAGCCCTATTCCCACAAGAGATGAGAGAACCTTTTTTCAGTTTTTAAGTTTTTAAATATTTCGAAGTTAACAAAATAATTGAAATTATGTAATGGCATTGAGTGATGAAGTACTGCTTATTAAATTTTAAAAATTCTTACACTGAAACAATTTCATATTATAAAAAATACTTAAGTATTTTAACATTTTTAATTAAATATCAATTTGTTTCCATATTTGAGATAATCTACGAATTGTATTACTATTTTAAAAGAATTATATCTTATTGTGTAAACAGTATCTAAAGCAGAAATTCATAACATAATGACATATAAGATATAACATAAAAAAATGAATGGTGATATAAAAATTTAGTATATTAAAAGTAGTGATTATTTTAAAATTTCGCCCAAAATCTCATCAAACAGCATTCATTTTGCATTTAGACAAAAATAAAAAATTGAAATAAGAAAAGAAACAAAATAATAGAGAGAAATACTGTTTAAACAGAAAATGTGTGTAGAAAATTAAACGAAATTAAGCAACACTAAGCAAATAAATAAAATCACTGTGAAGATTTTTTTTTTTTGACTTCAGTAAAAACTACACTGTATTGAATCGACCGCTGATGGTGCGTATATAAGCATAGGTTGCTTTGTAGATTTATTTATTTACTTTAGGTAAGCGCTATAGCTATCCTAACATTCGCTAGTGGATTGTTTTGTCTGAGGTTTTCTATAACATAATTAGCTAGCAAAACGAAAGCAATCTATCTAAAGCACACAATAATCTGGCAATTAAAAAATATGGCCAGCAACTAAGGAATCTAACACAGGCTGTCATTAGAGGGGGCAACAGCCAATCAAAACACGACTTACTGCGACGTTTCTCGGGGCTGTTGGCGAACGCCCAGTCGCCAAGAAACGTAGGCCAGCTCTGGCGACTTTTGAGGGTCAGGGCGTAGTAGAACTCCGTCATGGGCGAGGGCGGGAGCTTGGCGAGTTCTATCCCCTGTTTCTCCTCCTCTTCGACTTTCTCCACGATGGTGGCGAACATTGGAGGGAAGGAGACGGTTCGGCGGTTGGGCGAACTTTTGGCGTCTTTTTTCTTGGGGCTTTTTGGTTTACCTAGAACATGTGGATTTTTTTTTTAAATGTGTTGTCATTTGAGAGGTTCAGTACATTACGTTATATGTTTTCATCTTGTACACAAAAACAAAAATTATAAAATGTTTGTAAGAGGTCTATATTTTGTGTAATCAAAATTACAAAAAAAGTAAAAAATTAGGCGGATCAATATCTAGCCCTTTAAGTTTAAATATATGTGAATACGGGAATCCTGATTACTCACTATCTATTAGTGTAGGTGATTATGGCTTGTTGATTGGAAATTTTGTTCTAAATAATTGAAATTGGAATCTGTCAACTTACTTTTGAATAATAGTAATCAATGGCACAGCCAAGATTATTTAATACCCTTGCATACTCTCGTAGTCCTGCAGTCTCTACTACAATAGCACGACAGCTAAGTATGTGATATTTCGACATCGTGAGCTGAAGCTAGAACTGGGATTTCTACTTTTGACTAACCGGAAGAAACATGACATTTAAATCCCTGCCCCCCCCCCAACAAGAGTTTCTTCTAGGCATCTCTTCGGGGGGGGGGGGGTGTTCTTCCCCCCTTTCGAAGAAAGTCTACCGCCCCCACCCCCCCCCCCCCCTCACCCCCCGGAGAAAATGAAATTTATATAGAAAATATATACTTCTAACAGTGTCCGCCACCCCCCCCCGAAGAAAGTCTACCACCCCCCCCACCCCCCGCAAATTTCAAAGCCCCCCCCCCGGAGAAAAAGTCTGGAAAAAACACTGCCCCCGTCACAAACACACACACAATTCAACAGCAGTTATTAGACTAATGGTCTTTAAAATCGTGATGTGATATTTCGTCGTCGTGGGGTTAAGCTAGAACTGGGATTCTTGCTTCTCTTTGGTTAGAATAAACAAAACAACAAGATCGTCCACAACATTCAAACAACTAGAGCCGTCACAATATTCGAACGTCAACTCTAATTAGCAACTAAAGCTAGAACTGGGAATCTTACTTCTGTCTAACAGGAATAAACAAAACAACTAGATCGCCCACAACATTCAAACAACTAGGGCCGTCACAATATTCGAACGTCAACTCTAATTAGCAACTAAAGCTAGAACTGGGAATCTTACTTCTGTCTAACAGGAATAAACAAAACAACTTGATCGTCAACAACAATCCAACATCCAACTTTAGACCAACTGTCTGTAACATTGTGATGTAATATTTGCCATATTGTGAACTTTTTTTTAACTGATATTTTTTTTTCTTGACTGACCGGAAGAAACAAGACAGCTAGACCCCCCCCCCCCCCCACCCCAACACACACAAGATTCCAACACCAAACTTTAGACCAATGGTCTCTAACATTGTGATGTGATATTTGCCATTGTGAACTGATCCTTGAACTCCGATTCCTGTTTTTGACTGACTGTATTATAGCTCAGTTAAACGGGGTCCGGACAAAAGGCCGACAAGACAAAAGGCCGACAAGACAAATGGCCGACAAGACAAAAGGCCGACTGCCAAAAGGCCGACATCCAAAAAGCCGACAAGACAAAAGGCCGACAGACCATAAGGCCGACAAACCATAACGCCGACAAACCATAAGGCCGACAAAGCATAAAAAATGCTAATATCGCAAAATATGTGTTACTGCATTGCTCCTATCTTGACAACCATCGAAATAAGGCATAAAAAAGGCCTTTTGTCATACACCCCAGTTAAACACCCCCACCCCCTCAACACACACACAATTTAAACACTAACTCTCCGACAAAAAGTCTGTAACATCCCATGATAATGTTCCGCCTACAAGCTGGAACGTAGATTCTTACTTTTGACAGAGAGGAAGAACCGGGACGATGACGCCCCCTCCACGTTCTCCGCCCTGCAGCGGTACGCCGCCTCGTCCCCCTTGTTGACGTTGTCGATGATGAGACAGTAGCCTCCCCTCCCGTTGCTCTCTATGTGGATCCGCCCATGGTCGACAATCTCCTCATCGTCCTGTGAGAAGACATTTTATCTCTTCATCAGAAATGTCGTATTCATGGACATTTTTTTCAAACGTAATAAATATTCTTTATTAATGACTAAATTAATGAGGGAGGAGTAGGATTTTGATTTAATGCGGAGAGAACTCTAATAGGGTGTTTTTCATAGTTTCCAAAGTGGATGGTGGAACACTTGAAACTTTAGGAGTAGAGGGGGGGGGGGGGGGGGGGTCAGATTGAAACCTCAGGGGGGGGTCAGCTTAAAACTTCAGGGGGGGGGGGGGTCAGCTTGAAACTTCAGGGGGGGGGGGTCGGCTTGAAACTTCAGGGGGGGGGAGGGAAGGTCAGCTTGAAATTTCAGGGGGGGGGTCAGCTTGAAATGGAGGGGGGGGGGTCAGCTTGAAACTTCAGGGGGGGGGGCTTAGCTTGAAACCAGGGGGGGTCAGCTTGAAACTTCAAGGTGGGGGGGTCAGCTAGTAGGCGCTCGTTTTACTGTATATCTTTTTTTTAAATTTTCGTCCGGGCGAGGAAGAGAGGATGGAAGGGAGGGGGGTGTGTCGGGGGGTGGGAGGTCGGTAAATGTGGTTTTGGGGGGTCACTGCCCGTCCTGCAGAGAAATGCCTGTAAGAAATACCGAAAGTGAAATCACAGCGAAGCAGTGAAGATGATTTATTACCAAACCGCAAAAAGAAAACGTCCAAAGGCAGAACTAATCTTAGAAAAACGTCTAAAGGCATAACTAATCTTAGATAAATGTCTTAAGACAGGACTAATCTTAGATGAATGTCTTAAGGCAGTACTAATCTTAGATAAATGAACTGTGGACAGATGCCTGAAAGAGCTTAAGAGTCCAGATGTGGAAGTAGACACCAGCAGATACGTTTGAATTGGAAATATGTAGTAAAGCAGGTCAGACACCTAAATGGACCGAATAGGCTCAGCAATGGATTTAAAAGAGTAAAACTACGTAAAATTGTTACCTCGGAATAAAGTAATACTACGTAAAATTGTTACCTCGGAATAAAGTAAAACTACGTAAAATTGTTATATCGGAATAATTTTCTTTACTTTAAAATCAATTTGTAGCTGTCAACCAAAGATTCTGATAGGTCAAACCGTGGAGTTAGAATGGACCAATTGAATGCCAGCATCTTGCCTAACTGCATTTAATTCCCTATATCTGGAACACGTTTTCATCGGGTAGTCTCAAGAATTTTAAAATCAAATTCAGGGTAGTACACGCAGTGTTTCTTCCAGACTTTTTTTCTCCGTGGGGGGGAGGGGCAACATTTTGGGGGAGGGGGGGGGGGGGGGCAGAGGCGTAGCGAGGGGGGGGGGGACATGTTGGGGCGTGCACATCGAAAGTTTGTCCCCGGGCGCCGGGTAGGGTCGCTGCGCCTCTGGGGGGGGGGGGGGGCGGACACTAGTAAAAGTGTATGTTTGCTATATAAATCCCCCCCCCCCCCCCCCCCCGCCGAAGAGATGCCTGGAAGAAACTCTGAGTACACGGAACTCTGGTGTTCTTTTAGCCAAGGAAATTCTAGATTTGAGACTATTTTGTAAAGAATATAAATAAAATAATAAACGAACTAATTTTACTTCCAAGGATTTTATGTGTTACTTAATGAAGAAGGGCCTAAAACTAAAATCTTATTCACAACAGAGGCAGTTTTCTATGGAATATAATGAGATGGTACTAAATTGAAGTGTAAATTGTAGTATGCCCTATAAGGATATAATCAACTTTTGTTAAAAAAACAAGCGTTGCCTGTATTTAAGGATTGTTAATGGCTATAATGAGTGAACCAGACTTAGTTCACAAAATTTCACGTTTGGAGAAAAACACACACAAAAATCTCATCAGTAGTAGTACAATAAAGTCAAGTCAGTTTCCAGACAATCACAATTAAGGAAGGAACGGAACTATTTATAATAATCGAAAGTCAAGAATTTTTAGGTTTGTAATTAAACAAACTTTAAAAATTTATTATATAACGTTAAATTTTTTTTAGAATTTTCCAGTTTATAATAAGAAGACTAAAAAAATGTGTTATGTCATTAAGAAAAAGAAGGTTACCTTGTACCACCGTAACGTGGGGGCGGGAAATCCTGCGACCTTACATTCAATGCAGAGTGATTGCCCCTCCATGACTGTTTCTTCTCCATTCAACCTTTGTATGAATTCGGGAGCTGGGAGAATTTGGTAGAGTTAAATCTTGGGCGAGATTTACCAATAAAATGTGTGGTATTATCATATTTCACCAGGTGGTATTTATACATTAAACTTGATGGTATTTCTATAATAAAACTTCATGGAATTGTTTACATTAAATCTTGTGTTATTTGTAAATTTAAAAAAAAATGGATTTTATTTTTAATGCATGGAAATATTTGTATATTAAAACTGTTATAAAACTATTATTTTTATTTATAAACTTGGTGGTATTTGTACATAAAACGTCGGTTGTGTTTGTTTATTAAAACTTGGTGGTATTTGTGCATAAAATTGATAGTATTTTGTATTAATTTTGGTGTCATTTGTGCATTTAAGATATGGTCTTTTCTGAATTTAAAACAAGGTGATATTAGTATATTAAATTTTGGTGGTATTTGTAAATCAAAACTATTAAATTTCTAATTAAAGCATCATTTGAAAAAAAACCTATTTAAACGCGATGTTATTTGTCAAACGTAGTTAAAAAAAAATACTTGACACTTCGCGGTAATTGTATAATAAATGTAGTGGTAAATTCATAATAAAATAAGTAACTTACACTCAATGTAATTGTTTCAAAAAGGATTTCTCCGCCCCCCCCCCCCCCACCCACAATTATATTTTGTAGATTTTGAAATTCTAGAAATTCGTGAAGCGTACTCTCTTAATCATTTAGATAAAATATATGGTAGCAGAGAATAGTCGTTGATTAAAATGCGTATAGGTATAGATGTTAAAGTATTGGCAAATATTATATATATATATATATATATATATATATATATATGTGTGTGTCTTTATTGCTTTGCTGCTATACATTCATGTAATTCACAACTCGTTTATCGTTGCATCTTTTCCCTCAAGTTTTATAAATAGCAATATTCAGGTCTCTCGGCAAGGGGAGATCACTAGCGTTTTGTACCTAAAATATCTTTTTATCTCCCTTATGTTAAGGTCCGTTGTTCGGCGCATACCATATGTGTGTGTGCGTGTATGTGTTTATGTGTGTGTGTGTGAGGGAGAGGCGTGTGAAATATAGATCTAGAATATTCAAGAAGAATCAACGGGAGATACTAAAATATAAAGATACACATAATTTTACTTCTAGTTCGTGTAACAGTGGCGTTATTTATATTGTCTATTTCTTATTGCTCGAAGCCCTCTTAAACTCAAGCCATTTAACCCTTCAAAAAATTTAAAAAAAAAATAATTAAAAAAAAAAAAAAAAAAAATAATTGACGAACTTGCTCATTTGAATATATAAAAAGGGGGACGCAAGAATGCCTAACATACTGGGGTTCAAAAATATGCTTGCGTTTCTTCAGTAAAAAGTAGTAAGTTAATGAGGTGGGTATTTGGAGGCGACAATGAACATATATATATATATAAATATATATATATATATAAATATATATATATATATATATATATATATATATATATATATATATATATATATATATGATGAGACAAAGGCTAACAGGTTTACATGGGCGCAAGTAAAGAGAGAAGCACAGACGTGAAGGTGTGGCTGTGGCCCTTTGCTCCCCATGGGGCCACAAAGGAAAAATCAAGTGATATATCAACACCCCTGTATGTCTTACTGACCTTCGTATAAAGTTTTCTTCCGGCCATAGTTAAACGAGCGCTTCTCCGCCCTGTTCAGTAAACTGTCGATGTCGATGCCGGCAAACCGGTCATCCACATCTTCCTCCATGGCCGTCATTTTGGAACGCAGCCACAGGCCGGTAGTGACAATTCTAGAATGTTCAAAACCTGAAATATTAAAGCAAAGTTAAAAATCTGTTTTAAAAAAAATACTTATAATTGGACGAATCTTACATTTAGGGTTTCGGTGCAAGTTAAATTATGGTATTTAAACATCATAGGTACACGAAATACAGCAGTCTGACAATCTAATTCGTGTCATCGGTGCTGTAGTACAGTGAGTTATGCTAATTTAATTAGATGTTCTCATCGGCGATACCATATTCAAGATCACCAAACCAGCAAATTTAAAACCAAGAACTACAAACCTGAGACACTATGTTCGAGATCCCCAAATCAGCGATCCTATATTCGAGATCCCTAAACCTGCGACCCTATAACCAAGATCTCCAAATGTGAGACCCTATAATCGTGATCTCCCAATTAGCTAGCTTATAATTTTTTCTATCAAGATCCCTAAAACAGCGACCATATAATCAAGATCCCAAAACTAGTGACCCTATAATCAAGATCCCTAAACTTGAACCCGTCAACCAAGAACTTAATCACCTGCAACCCTATAACACAAGTCCCCAAACCTGCGACCCCATTGCTTAGATCCCTCAGACCCGCGACCCTATAACCAAGGACCCCTCACACACAAGTCCCCAAACCAGCGACCCTATAACCAAGGACCCCTCACACACAAGTCCCCAAACCAGCGACCCTATAACCAAGGACCCCTCACACACAAGTCCACAAACCAGCGACCCTATAACCAAGGACCCCTCACACACAAGTCCCCAAACCAGCGACCCTATAACCAAGGACCCCTCACACACAAGTCCCCAAACCAGCGACCCTATAACCAAGGACCCCTCACACACAAGTCCCCAAACCAGCGACCCTATAACCAAGGACCCCTCACACACAAGTCCCCAAACCAGCGACCCTATAACCAAGGACCCCTCACACACAAGTCCCCAAACCAGCGACCCTATAACCAAGGACCCCTCACACACAAGTCCCCAAACCAGCGACCCTATAACCAAGGACCCCTCACACACAAGTCCCCAAACCAGCGACCCTATAACCAAGGACCCCTCACACACAAGTCCCCAAACCAGCGACCCTATAACCAAGGACCCCTCACACACAAGTCCCCAAACCAGCGACCCTATAACCAAGGACCCCTCACACACAAGTCCCCAAACCAGCGACCCTATAACCAAGGACCCCTCACACACAAGTCCCCAAACCAGCGACCCTATAACCAAGGACCCCTCACACACAAGTCCCCAAACCAGCGACCCTATAACCAAGGACCCCTCACACACAAGTCCCCAAACCAGCGACCCTATAACCAAGGACCCCTCACACACAAGTCCCCAAACCAGCGACCCTATAACCAAGGGCCCCTCACACACAAGTCCCCAAACTTGCGACGCCATTGCCGAGATCCCTCAGACCCCCGACCCTAAAACAACCCCCCCCACCTGCGACTTAATAAACACATCTGCAGATAACCCACCAATGACGTTATCGACTTTCAGATAACGTCGAAAATCTGAATTTTACAATTTATCAACTCGACCAATCGCACAAGTTGGCCTGCGTAACTGTAGTTTCAACACGGTAAATCTTTTTACAAGAAAATCTGGCAATTTTGAACTTGTCGTGTGAGAATGCCCTTATATACACCATAAGGTTTCACTTATTTTCGCAGCAAGCGGATTTATTTTTGGCTTGCACAGAAGTGTATTGCCAGGATGAATAACTCACTCGTTACATAATTTATCAACATTACGTCCCTTGTCTTATTTCACAGGATTCAATTATAACCCTGTAAAGGGGGACTATCTTTGAACACCACATTTTTTTCAAATTTATTTATTAATCATCTTATTTTTTATAACTATTTTCACATTCCTTTCTAACACATTTTCTTAAGATCGCGACTAATAAAAAAAAAATAGCACAGTTAAAAGGAATTTATAAGTAGAAAATTTAATGTGCATGCGATGTACTGGAATTTTAATTAGCGTTTTATTTTCAAATTAAAATCACGTTCGTAGTTATAATTAGTTTTGATTTAAGGCTAGCTAATTTATTTTTTTTTTAATTTTGAAAGTTTTAATAACCCAGCGTTCTGCTTAGAGATTAGGTTTGAAATATTTTTATGAGCATGTTTTATTTTAGTTTATAGCTTTGTTTATAATACACTGGGAGTTTTTATAAAATTGTTTAATTAAATGTGATATTTTGTTATGCAAAGAGTATAGAAATTTTTTAATTTGTAAAGGGAAATAACTACGGACAGTGGCGTAGCCAGGAATTTGTCATGGGAGGGGTTCAGAAAATGTTTCCATACGTATATAATCATATATATATATATATATATATATATATATATATATATATATATATATATATATATATATATATATGACTATGTATATATATATATATGTATGAATATATATATGTATATATATATATGACTATATGTATATATGTATATATATATATATATATATATATATATATATATATATATATATATATATATATATATATATATATATGGATCGGGACCATGGGAGGGGTTATAGCCCCCCTAACCCCCCCTAACCTCCCCCCCCCTCTTGCATACGCCACTGACTACGGACCAATATCACTTCCGACTCAAAACCGTACACGAAATATTTCCCCCACCTTGTAAAACAGATTATTATCAATTAGAAACACGGCGTCTGTCAAACTGCCACTGCGTAAAAAAAAAATCTCACCAACACAGAGTAGGTAAAACCGTTACGTGAGTTCTAAGCACGACAAACACGCGCGTCGGTGAGCCAGGATGATAGTCACAGATACAGTGAGCGAAACTGATTCAACCGCTGGTTTTGACAGTAGTCACGGTGGATCAGTTGGGCTCAGGAGACAAGGCTGAAGATGCTAACTCGAACGGGCAAAGAAAAGAATTGGATGTGTTTTATGTTCTTTCCTTTGCTTCTTGCATGTAACCATTTATATATATATATATATATATATATATATATATATATATATATAGGCCCTATATATATAAATATTAAGTATATAAAATGTATTTATTCATATATATATATATATATATATATATATATATATATATATATATATATATATATATATATATATATATATATATATATATATATATATAATATATGTATGTATACATATGTATATGTATATATATATATATATTTATGTATATATATATTATATATATATTTATGTATATATATATATATATATATATATATATATATATATATATATATATATATATATATAATTGTAACATCAAAATAACATTGGATTTTTAAAGCATAAAACATAAAGATTATATGGTTTAGATAATAAATGTTATGGTTTAGCGAATATTTTGGCGTTATTACACATGCGCAAAAGCCTTGTTTACCTTATCACGTGACGCTTGTCTCCATTTTTTTTCTCAATTTGACGAAACTGTTTTAAAAGTCCTGCATGTTTTCAGCCACAGCCAGTTATACGTGTCACAGTATTTCACACTGAGTACTAGAGGGTTGAGGGGTGGAGAGGTGGAGGAGGGTGAGCTGAGGGGTGGGGTGGAGGGGTGGAAGAGGGTGAGCTGGGTACTTGTTCTGCTGGTGCAAGCTCAGGTAGATGTGGAATACTGTCTCGCCTTGTTCTGGTAATGGCAGGGGGGAGGGGGGATGACTGACGTCTCGAACCTGTGGAATGGTCGTTAAGATATGAAAGACATTCGATAATTGGTTGTCAGTCTGCATACTGGAGATAAGCACACGACAGCCAAAAGACGGCTGGGTGAGTTAAAATTAAAATACATTTTACAACACGAATATCCAGGCACAATGATATAAACAGTAATACACACAACACATTCTAAATAACACATGCATACACAAAGACAAGAAACACGTACGCTATAATTATTATATAATTAACTATTTCAGAAAATAAACTTTCATCTTGCGTTTCTTTAGCATAAATAGACATTACTTTATATAAATTCAAAATTAAGGAAATATTGTTCTTAAATTTTCTTGAGTGATTATTATTTTGTAATCTTATAGGAATTTTAATAGTCCTACTAGTGGGTTTATTTATTTTTTATACAACAGACTTTTTTAGTAACAAACACTTTTGCTGAAGCTTTGAACACATAGGAGTATATATTTAAATTTTCACAAGTCATCGAATGTTAAACTTAAACCAGCCTCTCATTCATTAAGGATGATTCAGGCCATGTTGTCAATGGAATTTTGTTTTATCAGCTTATTATAGGTTTATGGGACGTTGTGGCCGAGCGGTAGAGCTTTGCTTACCCAAAGTTTCGAGTTCGAATTTGAGTTAAAGTCAGAGGGATGTCGCTGCCTCCAGGGGTCATCCATAAATGACGTCACGATTTTTTGGACGATTTTTTACCTCCGCCAGACCCCCCCCCCCCCCCACTTAAAAGACCCCCCCCTACAACCCCCCTCAAAATTGCTGTTAAAATTTTCTTAAAATACGATATTTTCTAAAATCCTATCTGAACTCTGTTAACATAGAGTTTTTTTTATACAATTCCTATAAACATTTATTAAAACTGTTTTTTAAAACGCAAAATAACAGCTAAAATTCGTTTTCTAACGTTGCTTTTTAGCGCAATTTCCATACTGGACAATTGCGATTATTAACTCATCATTTCTGGATGGATGTGCGCAGCTTTAAGTCGTATCTCCTCCTCAACGAAGCAATATCGAGGCCTAGTTCCAAAAGCAAATATGTTAAGCAAGTTCCGAGGATGATTGTGGGCCAAAAAAAATTATCGGAATTCCTTCCTGGATTTCCCGGAAAAACCAAAAAACCTCGAAAAAAATGCAGTTTTTGGCCCATATCTCGGCAACCAGACCACTTAGCGTCTTGAAACATTTACCAATCGATTTCTGCCATAACTTAAAACAATATTGCCGAAGAAAGTTTTCAAAAATATCCTTTCGTTTGGTCACAAAAAAAGTAATTAAGGAAATTGCGCTTAAATTGTCACTAGACTTTTAATTTACTTGTTTATAATGCAAATGTGTGACGTCACACCATCTAAACACCTCCACACTCCCCCTCATCACACACCGTCACAAAATTACAGACCCCTAACCTCCTACGAGTGTGGCGTTATTTATAGACGACCCCAAGTCCACCCAGCTCAGATGGGTACCTAACTCACTTTACGGAGAGGCGGCTTTGAATAGTGTAGACCACACTCTCTCTTCTGGGTCGATACATATATGAACCCTATTTCGTCTGCCCTATGGATCGCTGGTGCTAAATAGGAATCTTTACTTTGTTTTAGCTAAGAGTATTATATATTCTTCCTTCTTAACTGTAATAATGGAGAGGATTTCCTTCTACACAAGTAAGTATTTCGCAATATGACCCGATGGCTACATTTTTTTTTCTTTTGCCTGCTTTTCTTTTTGGATTTGATATGGAACTTTTGTCCACCTCAGAACAATCTGCAAGCAGTAGATGTTTGATACTGGAGTTGTCTCTCCTAGATAGGTTAGTGTCCCAAGCTTACAAGCCTCATCTGCCCAATGCACTAACTCGGGACTTTATAAAGTTAGCGATCGCACGCTTTCCCACCCAACCACAATGTATTTGATTTGAAATCAAACAGTCCGTATAATTAATGTTTATAAATACAACTATTTTCATTAATACATCTGTCATAATTTACCAGCGGCAGTATCCTAAAGCAGCAAATGCTGCTACTCGATCATATAATTAGTAAAATACTCTACATTAAACGCAATTAGTGTGCTCGTTAGTAAAACATAGCGTTAGATTATATTTTTATTACCTCCCTTTCATTGTGTGGTGTTTTATTATTTCTGGCAAGATTTTAACGCGTATAATAAACAGAGGAGTCTTCACTGTTTACGTTCCATTAAGTTCTGATGGTTTGATAATGTAAGTAATAATTAAAATATATTAGTGAAAAAAAATTTGTTGAATTTTTCGCTTACCTTAATACATAATCAGAGTTAACGGAACATCAAAATAAAAAGAAAATAACAGTATTTTGTTTCAAATAATTTTTAGGCACCCATTTGAAAAGTATGTGCGCTATTAAAAGTTATGCTATTGTAGTATAGAATATTGAGGAGAGAAAAGTACTAGGTGATAAAGTAATCATAATACATTCACAGACTGCATAGTATAAATTGAAGTAAAGTTTAAGAGTTTAGTAGTGAGGTTTTAAAGCGTAGAAGCTCGCGTGACGTTTTAAAGTGTGAAGGTTGGAGTAAGTAGGTTGGAATAAGTAGGTTAGAGTAATGTTTTAGGGTGTAGGATTCGGAGTGATATTTTAAAGTGCATAGGTAAGAGTAAGGTTTCACAGTACAGAAGTATGAATGATGTTTTAAAGTGTATAGGTTGGAGTAAGGTTTTAGAAGTGTAGAGGTTGCACTGTGTTTTTACATTTATAGGTTGGTGTAAGGTTTTAGAAGTTTAGAAGTTGCAGTGTGTTTTTACATGTATAGGTTGGTGTAAGGTTTTAGAAGTTTAGAAGTTGCAGTGTGTTTTTACATGTATAGGTTGGAGTAAGGATTTAGAAGTTTAGAAGTTGCAGTGTGTTTTTACATGTATAGGTTGGAGTAAGGATTTAGAAGTTTAGAAGTTGCAGTGTGTTTTTACATGTATAGGTTGGAGTAAGGATTTAGAAGTTTAGAAGTTGCAGTGTGTTTTTACATGTATAGGTTGGAGTAAGGTTTTAGAAGTGTAGAAGTTACAGTGTGTTTTTACATGTATAGGTTGGAGTTAGGTTTTAGAGCGTGAAACTTCAGAGTAAAAGTTCAAAAAACAAGATTATTACCACTCAAATAATATCACACAACGCCTAAAGTAATGCCACATAATGTTCTGAGAATAGTGGATTGCTTTGAGAATTACTAAGACTTCAGCAGCCATAAACATAATGACGGATCTCTTTCTACACAAAAATAAAATACAGTATTTTACACATAAAATAAATGACATATATCCCTGCTGTCTTCACACGAAAAATAAAACATTAAATTATAATCTTAACCAAACTCAATCTTTAATCTTATTTTAAACCTTATCTCCCCTGCAAAAGCCAATTCATCAAAACACTATTATTTATATTTATAAATTTGAACTACGTCAGAAAAAAAAAATTCCTCAAAATTTTTATTTTCAACCAACTTGAAACATTCAGCTACCTGTAAGGAAGACACTCTTTTCGTACTCACACCAGGGTTATATTTTAACCCCACTTGAGACAACCCTCCCCCCCCACCACATTCCCTACCCAACTCAGCACAACCTCTATGCTCGAAGCTTGTTTGTATCCTTCAGCTAGTATAGCTATCAAATCGTGTGATCTTTAATCGAGAAATCTACACCACTGAAGCGTTGCTAGTATTTTTTTTTTAAATTATTATTGCTAGATTCTATATCTGCAAAAAAAAAAATAAAAAAATCAGCATTTTTGTAAGCGTTGCTAGAGTCAAGTTCCACATGTAAACACCGATACACCAAAAATGAGACGTGTTCCCTATGAGGGCACCACGATTTATAAATAATTGACCTAGAAAGAAACCGAATATACTATAACACTCTTTATTAATTGGAGAATAATAATAGGCTATTCATCCTTGTATTCATTCGCATTTTAGATTTTAATTTTTCACTTTTTTTTGCATGTGTCTGTATTTCCCAATAGAGAACACATTTTTTACATTTGTGCGAAATAGCGAACGCCCGTTCCTCGTTCCTTATAAGAAACATATTGATATTTTGCACTTTAAAGCATAATTAGATACACAATTATACAGTTTTAAACATTTTTAATATGTTGTTTTTTACTAGGATGACTAAAAACGATTTATTTTAGCTTCTATATCTCAAATAATTCAAGTTAAAAATGACTCGACGTAGACGGTGTGCTTGACCCTGCGAACAGTATATAAGGAAATATAGTGTTCAATAGTAGGGCGGGGTAAAAATATAGTGGGCATCATAGTGAACACCCTATTTTTTTAATAAATGAGGAAGAAAACAACGCCAATTATGTAATGTATGTTATCAGGCATGTTAATCTATATATATAATTCTCTTCTTGGAGACGTTAGAAAACAAGCTGTAAGCGCGCCGCGCAGTTCCCTCTTTTCCTCTCCAGGCATATCGCAACCACCCCCACACCCACATGGTCTGGTGAGCTGTAGTTCACGCTAAATGTTTACATCGTAGAGCCGGGTTTAGTGACGGCTATTAGGGGCAGATAATTTAGTTTAAAACTATTTTATACTTAGGGGAAGTAACTAAGTGGAGGCTGCTTTCACGCGGGTGGGGGTAGGGGGAAACGAGGGTTTTAGTGTTTTAAAGGAAATATTTTCAGTGGCAGCATTGGTACTGTCGAATTCACAAATTATGAATTACTGAAAAGTAGAAAATAAGACAACTAAATAGCGGCGTATGATGCGCCGCGGGTCGGCTCGTACTTTATAATTACATTTTTTTTTTTTTTTTTTTTTTTTTTTTTTTTTTTGAAATTTGAAAAAATTAAAATTCTTAGTTTTTATTTTTTATCAAAACATATTACAACAACACATCGTTTGTGTGAGTGCTATATATTTTTTACAAGCTTTTATTTAACTCACTTCCTCTGTCTGTCGCCAGTCGTCAGTCGTCAGTCGTCAGTCTAGATAGAAACGCAGGAGTGAAAATTCGGACAGTTCTACTTGACCGATACGATTCACACTTGGCACGTGGGTCAAGACATGAAGACAATGCAATCTGAAACTAAATTTGACTTAATTGGATGCCTAATTAATTTTTTATTGATTAATTAAAATTTGGACCGAATTAGTAGGCATGTCTAGCCAACCACACCACACGCGTCATCACCTTCAATAGCTGCGCCATCACGTAATGGCTGCGTTCAAAAACCATTGCGCGCCTACTGAACGTGATGTTCAGTAGGCGCGCAATGGTTTTTAGTCATGTAACTCTATTGTAAATAAAACATGTAAAGTACTGAAAATTTTTTTAATAAAAAACGTTTTAATAACAAGCTTTTATGTAATGATGCACTAAAAAGTAGAAAATAAATTATAGACTACTATTTAAATAACTATAAAGAAAAGCGTGGGTGTCTTCCTTAACATTAGTAAAGGTATCCAATAGATACTAAAGTGACCCACGCTTTTCTTTATAGTCATTTAAATAGTAGTCTATTACTTATTTTCTACTTTTTAGTGCATCATTACATAAAAGCTTGTTATTAAAACGTTTTTTATGAATTTTTTTCTACTTTATAATTACATTTTTTTTTTTTTAATGTTTTCCATATTTATTCTGTTGACTGAAAAATACAATCCTATTTTTGTAAATTTTTTCCACACAATGAAATAAACATAAATTTGTCTTGACCTTTTGTTAAATTATTTATACAAATTGTCTTTAGAAAGGATATACAAAATAAATAAAAACATTTTATGGATGCTTATTAATTTATCATATTTTTGCTTTTAGTATGTAATTTCTAATAAGTTATTGGTCAACAACTAAAAGAATACTTTACAACTGTAAATATAATAGCTATACAATAGCCTTTTTTTAAAAACATTCATTTTATTTACATTTATTCAAGTTTAGTAGGTTAAGGCAATTCAGTATGCAAGTATAATAGTTATAAATAACTACATGTGTGTTTGCTCTTTTTTATTGGAATGAAGCCATCACCAGCAATAGGCACTTCAATCAAATCTGGGACGTCGTGACACATTGGGCACATCTTGTTGCGAACTTCTGAACTTCTCATCCAGATGACTAGATTGTATCTGATTCCTTGATTTAAGGGTAGTGCTGAGTGGTGTTGGCGACCACAGTGAAGTAAACCAAAGCACATCTCATGACTGATCTTGACCATAGGCTCTGAAAATTCCTCATCAACTCCTGCAGCTGTTGACATTTTACGGACCTGCAATTGTCCCCCTTCATAGTCTTCATTGATGCTAATATTGGCAGTAATTTCTGAATTGTCAAAGTGTAGACTCAGTTCCCTGTCACCATGAGCCTCATATTTTACAATAAATGCTCGATAGGAATCTATGAGGCCCCCACCCCAGTGAGGAAACAGGATGCGAGTGATTGGTTGAAAATAATCCCTGACAAGTGAAGTGATCAGACTATCTGATAAGCCCATCTCATCCAATGATATTCCACTAGCATTCATTGTATTTGGCCTTGTTTTTCTTCCAGGAAATTTTTCAAAATTAGATATTTCATCTATCAGTTTAAAACAAAACGCTTTGGTGAAAACTGGAAGTTTGTATACCATGGCTTCTGTTATATCCCCTCCCATGTGAAATATTAGAGACATGAGTTTTTCCTTTGACAGACCTGTGGCATCATGTGCAATGGTTACAAACCTTGGGTCAAGAAAACAGGGTTGAAGACTCCATATTTCAGGATTCAGTTTTTCATAATGTTGCTGATTATATTCATAATTTTCAAGAAATTGCTTATGGTATGTTGATCTGCGTTTTATTTCTTCGTGCACCCCTGACAAAGTATTTTGATACTGTTTATCTGTAGAACATCCATTTAAGCGAAGAAGTGATCTAAATTCCTTCTCAAACTGTTCATCACTTTCATAAGTTGTATGAATTCTAAACTTTTTAATGAAAATATTCTTATTCAAATAGCATCTACAAATGTATTCTGGCTGTCTAGAGAGTGTGGTCATTGCTATAATGTTGCATCTGATTAGAAACACTAAGAAACATCCTTTAGTCCTATGACCGTTTACATTGCAGTATAGCTTTTTAGTTTTTACTTTGTTTTTGTAGTTTATTGACCAAACGCAACACAAATCAAATAAAAGCACTATCTCGTTTCTTTTTGTTTATTCTATATATTTTTTTAAACAATCAAGTTTTCTTTTTATGATTGCATATGAGTATCAATTTGAAACTGCATTACGTTTTCTAGTAATTAAGTAGATTCTGTAACGTTTTATTTTTTATTTTAAAAAAATGATCAAAAGTATACAAAAATAAAATATACCCATCTGTTCTGTAACGTTTTTACAAATACTAAAACTAGCTGGAGTTATCTCCCATGGGAAATAACAAGACAAGGGAAGTAGCACAGATAACAAGTTGACGGAAATCCAGCGCAGGCGGTTTGCGTGGGAGCTGGGGAATTTAGCTCAGCTCTCACCTACTTCTGGCTCAGGTCTATTCATGGTTCGTTACGTTCCCAGTGTCTTTCATTCGTGGTGGGACCATTGTAGTGGGGGGGGGGGGGGAGGGGGGTTGTTTAACCAAGCAGGTGGCTTGTGAGACTAATTTAATGAACGGTGGTGATGGTGATGGTGATGGTGATGATGATTGTAATTATGATTGTGATTGTAATGGCGATGGTGACGGTGTGGTACTAGTGATGGTGATAATGATTGTGATGGTTATGGTGATGATGATGTTGATCGTGATGGTGATGATGATGATAATAATGATATTGATGATGATGGTGATGGTGATGGTACTGATGATACTGGTGATGGTGATGGTGATTGTGATGATGATTGTGGTGGTGATGGTAACGGTACTGGTGATGGAGATGATGATGGTGATGGTGATCATGATGGTGATCATGATGTTATTGATGATGATGATGATGATGATGAAGATGATGATGGTGATGGTGATGAGATGAGCAGACACATGCTGTAGTCGCACACACGCAAGCACACACAAACACACACATACGCGCGAATACATACTCGGACACTGATAAACAAAAACACACACATCAATGTACATACAGAAAAGTACACACGGACACATACAAGCGTAGATACATGCACAAAAACACAGACAAAACAAACACATACAGAAAAGTATACACACGGAGACACAAACGTACATACTCTCTTAGATACATGCACAGAAACAAACAGACCACGCAAACAAACATACAAACAAATAAACGCTCATACTTACAAACACGCACACAAAATACACTTGACACCCAAACTCACTCACAAACATACATACAAACACGCTTAAAGGCTCTAATTCGCAAACAGACATACATCTGCGATACACACATTCACACACAAATCATCAAAACACGTTTATCTAAAGCCTCCAACTTTGACAAACAAACTATTCATAATCGTGGTGTACTGCATTCTAAAAAGCTTTTGAAATTTATTTTTAACTTAATCGACCTTACGTCACCACAATTTATCTTATTCAGAACACATTTAGAATTAATAAAATAATAGTAATAATAATAAAATAATCTCTAAATTTAAAAAAAAAAATGAAATAATATAGATGGCCTATTCTTCAAGTAAACAGTTCACCACTGTCTACGTCATCTCGGCTATCGTAATCTAAATGTTGTTGTAAAAGTTAAACAAATATCATGAATTTGGCAGCCGGAAGATTCCGGCTTCAAGGTTAGCTGCTCTGGTGGCCTGGGGCATCGGATTTAAGTGCTAAGACAAGACCAATAGTGTGTGTCATGCTACTAGACAGTGGTTCTAAGTCTGTTAGATTTGATGGGTGTCATAAAGGTTGCAGTGGTTCTAAGTCTATGATGGGTGTCATAAAGGTTGCAGTGGTTCTAGGTCTGTGATGGGTGTTATAAAGGTTGCAGTGGTTCTAAGTCTGTTAGATTTGATGAGTGTCATAAACGCTTTAAGGCAGTGGTTCTAGGTGTGTTAGATTTGATGGGTGTCATAAAGGTTGCAGTGGTTCTCAGTCTGTTAGATTTGATGGGTGTCATAAAGGTTGCAGTGGTTCTAGGTGTGTTAGATTTGATGGGTGTCATAAAGGTTGCAGTGGTTCTAAGTTTGTTAGATTTGATGGGTGTCATAAAGGTTGCAGTGGTTCTAAATAAAGGTTGCAGTGGTTCTAGGTCTGTGATGGGTGTCATAAAGGTTGCAGTGGTTCTAAATAAAGGTTGCAGTGGTTCTAGGTCTATGATGGGTGTCATAAAGGTTGCAGTGGTTCTAGGTGTGTTAGATTTGATGGGTGTCATAAAGGTTGCAGTGGTTCTAAATAAAGGTTGCAGTGGTTCTAGGTCTATGATGGGTGTCATAAAGGTTGCAGTGGTTCTAGGTGTGTTAGATTTGATGGGTGTCATAAAGGTTGCAGTGGTTCTCAGTCTGTTAGATTTGATGGGTGTCATAAAGGTTGCAGTGGTTCTAGGTGTGTTAGATTTGATGGGTGTCATAAAGGTTGCAGTGGTTCTAAGTTTGTTAGATTTGATGGGTGTCATAAAGGTTGCAGTGGTTCTAAATAAAGGTTGCAGTGGTTCTAGGTCTGTGATGGGTGTTATAAAGGTTGCAGTGGTTCTAAGTCTGTTAGATTTGATGGGTGTCATAAAGGTTGCAGTGGTTCTAGGTCTGTTAGATTTGATGGGTGTCATAAAGGTTGCAGTGGTTCTAAGTCTGTTAGATTTGATGGGTGTTATAAACGCTTCAAGGTAGTGGTGCTAAGTATATTAGATTTGATGGGTGTCATAAAGTTAGCAGTGGTTCTAGGTCTGTTAGATTTGATGGGTGTCATAAAGGTTGCAGTGGTTCTAGGTCTGTTAGATTTGATGGGTGTTATAAACGCTTCAAGGTAGTGGTGCTAAGTATATTAGATTTGATGGGTGTCATAAAGTTAGCAGTGGTTCTAAGTCTGTTAGATTTGATGGGTGTCATTAAGGAGACAATGGTTCTAAGTCTTAGCCATGTTCCCTCTCTTTTGCGAGAGGTTCCATAATTCATTAAGAGAGTGGACAAATCTCACTTACTCGACTCTCATAAACTAGTGAACGACAAATGGACTGTAATGTACTGTGTGGGATAGCATGATCTACAACGCCCCTTTCTTCCTTTCTTCAATACCGTAGGCCGCTTTTAGCTAGTATTATCTGAAGCATTTTTATATTTTAATTTGTAATACTACCCAAAACTCTGATAAACCCAATTTTTTTTTTTCAAATTTGTAACAATACGAGAGCTCTTGATCGACACTTTTTAAAAATTGGTAGCAAATGTGAATAACAGTTACACCGAATAGAATTTTTTTTTTAAATTTGAATTTTTTTTTTTAATCATTATACCCCATTCTATGCTTAAAATACACTCTGATCTACCCAATTTTGTGTTTAAAATTTGTAACAATATGAGAACCCCTGGTCTACCCCATTCTAAGTTTAAAATTTGAAACAATATGAGAACCCCTTATCTACCATATTCTATGGTTAAAATTTGTAACAAAATGAGAACCCCTTATCTACCATATTCTATGGTTAAATTTTGTAACAATTTGAGAACCCCTTATCTACCATATTCTATGGTTAAAATTTGTAACAATATGAGAACCCCTTATCTACCCCATTCTAAGTTTAAAATGTGTAACAATATGAGAACCCCTTATCTACCATATTCTATGGTTAAAATTTTTAACAAAATGAGAACCCCTTATCTACCTTATTCTAAGTTTAAAATTTGTAACAATATGAGAACCCCTGGTCTACCCTACTCTAATCCATTTCTCAGCCCCCGACTTAAACTGTACAGTGACCATTACGTCGAGGGATCATAAAATAAGTTACACAGGCCGAAAGTGGTTGGAACGAATCCAATTTGGCAAAGTAAGGAATAATTGTATAAATCATTTACCTGTGTCCGCCCCCACCCCTCACTTCCTGCACCCCCCCTCACCCTCGCATACATCTTTGCCTTAAAATCTTCTGAAAAATGTTTGTTTACGTGCTGAAATTTTTAGAAAAATTAAATTTTGCCAACTTTGTTTATATTGTTACACGTGTCTCCCGTTTTCTTTTCGTTCTCTCTCTCTCTCCGCCTCTCTCTCTATATATCTCTCTGTCTCTCCCACTCTGGTTTCATTCGTCCTTCGCTCTTCTCTTTTCTTCTCCTTTGTTCTCTTAGTCCTTCTTTCATCTAATCGCCTTTTTTCCTTCATTCGTCCTTCTTTCTTTCTCTTATTTTTACAATACTCGCTATCTCATCATAATTTAAAAAAAAAAATATTAAATGCTTCTTAATGATCAACATTAACACTAGTTTTCAGAGACAACTGAGTACCTAAGATATTAGGATAAGTAATGGCGATTGGGCATATTTCTGACCGCATATTATCCTTTCATATGGGACTGAGTGGCCTAGCGGGTTCAAGTCAGTAGATCGTCCCTGAGTCCACCCAA